TCCTATATTTTGATTTAAAGCTTTCGTGACTGCAGGTATTCATATTCTTGGTTCTTTCGGTAAAGTCACCACGTAGAAGGGAAACAATAAAATACTAAAAATATAAAACAAAATTCTCACGACGTTTCGACCGCAACACAAGCAATCATCATCAGGTGTGAAAACCACAACAAGAAAATTTGAAAAAAGTGGCGGTTATTTTTCTTGTTGTGGTTTTCACACCTGATGATGATTGCTTGTGTTGCGGTCGAAACGTCGTGATAATTTTATTGTTTTATATTTTTATTATTTTATTGTTTCCCTTCTACGTGACTTTACCGAAAGAACCAATAATACTATTTCTATATGTTAATACTTTTGTAGTGATATAGAATGGATCACTACGGCGCGTAGCGCTAAGTACAGTGGAATGAGGAAATATGGGTGTAGAGGGCTAGCACGCCATGCAGTACCACACAGTGGGTCGCTAGGGTGCGTGGTACTGGGTGCTCGCAGAGATAGTCTGATGAGTCCTACCGGCAGAGTAGGGGATAGCAGCCACTTCGCCAGCACAGCGAGTGAATGCCACGTGATTGGTCACGAGGGAGCATGGTGCGGGTTGCTGGCGGAAGGGAGCCTTGGGTGAAGCACGTGAAGGGCCGGGGTGAGGAATGTGGGGCAAAGGTGACTGAGGGGAGAGTTCCTGTAGGGGGCGTGGTTAAGGGCGGAGCCGGAAGTGGGCGCAGCCGAGGGTGGAGCTCGGCCACGCCGAGAGAGGTAAAAGGGAAGCCCCGATTGAAGATCGGGGCTGTCTGCAGGTGAAGTGAACCAAGGTGCTACGTCTCCGACGTCGTGGGCTAGACAGCACGTTGGCTGCTCTGACCCGTTTATAGTTATCCCGTGTGTAATGGTGTGTAAGAGATAGGCATATCGTAGTCCCGTGTGTAACGGTGTTATATAGCGTAGAATAAACGTTGTTGCCTCCTAACTAGTGGCTCCGAAGTGACTCACTACACTTTGATACTGGCAAAAAGGTCCCAGTTTGTAGCTGCTCACCCCGGGCTACAAATGCTCCGATGGTGCATTGTCCTTGTACTGTTTGCCTTTTGGCATCGTTCTCTGGTCTGACACTGCTGGTGAGACTAGGCCCTAAATAAAGCTGCTGTCTCTGGTGTAGGCCAATCATTTTCAAAGACAATGCATGTATTATCAGAGCGTGTGTGTTTGCATGTTCACCACAAGTACATGTGGTTAATGCAGACGTGATTCCTTGCAAAAATATTTTTTTGGCATTTGAACATCTTAACACTTCCTGCTTTATTGCCAGGAAGGGTAAAAACTATCATTATTATTATTGCCCAAACACATGCAAATACAACACTCAATCATCCCCATCCTACCAGGCAAAGCCCCACTGAGGTATTAACTTGTTGTTCAGAAGCGACCTGGCCATTACAAATGATAGCTCAACAAATTGGCCCCATTATTTTGACATTTATAGCACCAAAATAATCACGGTAATCTCAACACGCAATGAGAGAAAGATGCCGACTCCAAATACAGTAAAACCTTGGATTGCGAGCATAATTCGTTCCGGAAACGTGTTTGTAATCCAAAGCATTTGTATATCAAAGCACTCGTATATCAGTTGTGATCACGTGATGCTCAGCAGACAAAGGGTATACGTACTGGTCGTATTGCAAGACCTGGCTCGTTTACCAAATTAATATTTATTTAAAATGTTTGCTCGTCTTGCAAAACACTCGCAGACCAAGTTACTCGCAATCCAAGGTTTTACTGTATACAGCAGCAGGCATCATCAGGGTCGGGATCGAACCCACGACCTCCTGCATATCAGGCGAGGTAGTTAACATCTAGCCACCTTGGTGCCCTTTGAATAAATAAATAAAGTTTCTGAGCTCAAATTAAATCATCAATGTCCAAGCTTTGGAAAGGGGCAGTAGAACAACAGAAAACACAGTCCCAGAACCATACCAAGACAACACCGCACAGTCCCTCAATAAAATAAAAAATTGTACATTAAAATTGACTGGACAAAACAAATCGCATGAAATTTAATCATGAACTCGTAACTAATTGGCACGTTTTGTTTCCGTGACAAATCTTACTAGTTGGCTGTGTCGGGTGGTGGCGGATTTAACGACACATTTATATATTTACGCGATTTAACCCCAAAAAAAACACTTATGGTTAGTTCTCTACCTAAATTGGCAAAATTCCAGTTCTGTTTAAAAAAAAATATGAGGAAAGTGTTTCCACCTATGTATGTTGAACTTCTTTCGCACCATATGTAGCCAAGCGTGCCGGGGGTAGGACAACAAACGAAACACAAAAAGCATTTGCGTGACGGTCGAACGGCATGAATGATGGGATGTTGTTGATGCTCTATGCCAGGGGTCGGGAACCTTTTTGGCTGAGAGAGCCATGAAAATAAACTTCCGTGAGAGCCATATAATATTTTTAACACTGAATACAACTAAATGCGTGTATTTTTAACTAAGACCACCAAATTTAGAATATAATAAGTCTCTGTATCTTTTTTTTTAATAACGTTATACCAACAACCAATAATAAATAAAATACTTCTTTCCATTAATGCGACTTCTGGTGCTGCATGGTTTTGCTGATGGCTTTGTAGTCTGGTTGATACGTGGTGAGGTTAAGCTTCATGCAGGCATTGAGGCTTTCATCCGTTAAACGGGATCGTAGGTTGGTCTTGATGTTTTTTAGATGTGAGAACGACTGCTCACGTGAATACGTAGAACCAAACATGGTCAATACAGCAATACTCACACGCTGCAGTGTGTGGTATGTGACAGGAAGCGCGTTCCATGTTTTGACAATCAGCTGGTCTGCGGGTTGAAGTTTTTTCATTTCTGTCCACTCGTGTTTGCTCGCCAGCTCTGTTTGCTGTCGTTCAAGTCTTTCCAAATCTTCATTCAGTGACTTGAACTTATTCACCTACATGTCTGAGGCCTTCAGATCAGCAACTTCCAGCTCATAATCTCTGATGGAGACACTAGGGATGTAACTCAGGTCGGCTTTGTCCACTTTACACTCGTGTGGATGAGTGATGAACTTGAAAAGACGAGTGTGCTCACGAAATTCTCCAAAGCGTGCTTTGAATGACTGCTGGAGATCAGATGTGAAGCCAGCTAGCTGCTGGAGATCAAAATGTTGAACGGGGTCACTTGCTGTGCACGCATCTTTAAATTCTCTCAGTTTTTCAAAGTGCAGTAAACGACCTGTTTCAATATCCACGATGAAGAGTTCCAGCTTGTTTTCAAATGCAAACACTGCTTGTTGAAGGGATAAGACTATTTCCAATGCCTTGTATTTTCACATTGAGCTGGTTCAGATGTCCAGTCATGTCCACAAGATAGTAAAACTTCAGGAGCCACTCAGTGTTAGCTAGCTCAGGATGCTCGACATCTTTCATTTCAAGTAAAGTTCGGATTTCGCTCAGGCAAGCCGCAAAACGGCTGAGCAAATTCCCTCTTGACAACCAACGCACTTTGCTGTGCAAAAGCAGACCGGGATAATGAATCCCAAATTCAGCCAGCAGTGTTTTAAACTGGCGATCATTTAAAGCTCGGGCAACAATAAAGTTGACCACCCGAATGACCAGTGACATCACCTCACCAAGCTGCTCGCCACACATTTGAGCACAAAGCGCCTCCTAATGTAGAATGCAGTGAAGACTTAGGATTGGTCTTTTTTCATGTTGACGAAGAAGCGCTACAAATCCTCTGTTTTTCCCCACCATACACAGAGCACCATCAGCACACACCGAAATAAGCTTATCCATCGGTAGATTTTTTTCTTTAGCGAACTCAATGAAAGACTTGAATAAATCCTCCCCTCTTGTTGACCCTTTCATTGGCAAAACAGCAAGACTTTCCTCACGCAGTGTGTCACCGGCAGCATACCTTGCAATCACACTGAACTGGGATAAATGACTTACGTCTGTTGACTCATCCAAAGCATGGGAAAAGTATGGCGCTGCATTTATGTCCTTTACTTGTGTTTCCTCCACTTGATTTGCCATCATTATGGTACGATTGTGAACAGTTTTTGCTGACAGAGGCATGTCTTTTATTCGTTTGATTATCTTGTCTTTATCCGAAAAGTCGTCAAAAAGTTCGTTGGCCACATCAAGCATGAATGTTTTGGCATACTCGCCATCCGTGAATGGCTTTCCGTTCCTCACAATTGCTAAAGAACCAGCAAAGCTAGCCGAATTCCCTTCACCTTGTCTGGTCCATACACGGAGTTGCTGCTGACTAGCTTGCACTCTGGACAGTAGCTCTTGGTATGCCTTCTTCCTATTGCCCCCCGCTTGATATTTCAATGCAAATGTAGCATGGCGTGTGTCGAAGTGCCGCTTTATATTTGACCGTTTCATCGATGTAATTTTATCATTGCATATTAGACACACCGCAGAACCTGGTCTCTCCACAAAGGCGAATTCTTCTGTCCATTCGTGCTGAAATGTGCGGTACTCCTCATCTTTTTTTCTTTTCGCAATCTTCTTCATCAAAAGGGTTTGCTCTGCACAAATTAGCTAGCTGACTATTTGATTAAAAGGACAGAAGTTTACTTCTTGACCTCACAACGACCCGTAGGCTACCGCATTATCCAATAGAAATAGAGTTTTGGTGTCGGACAGCTGGGATTGGCTCCAGCCACCTGCAACCCTGAGCAGGAGCGGTAGAAAATGGATGGATGGATTAAAATGAATGAGAATGTTTTATATTTTAAACGTTATTTTTAACACTGTGATTTCTGTAATGTTTACTTTAATGTCAGCGGAATTATTCATTACTTATCATGTTAAGAAATGTTAGCTAAGATTTATTTGCGAGCCAGATGCAGTCATCAAAAGAGCCACATCTGGCTCACGAGCCATAGGTTGCCGACCCCTGCTCTATGCGTTGGACTGTCTTATGTCATACTTGTGGTAAAGTATTGGTTCTAATCAACCCGTGTATTCCCTGCAGGTCCCAAGAGTTGCAGATTGCTGCACAGAAATAAGTGAGTCGTACATTATTTTAACGAACGCTTTAAGCAAGCCTCTCTCTGTAGCCCAGTGACTGCGTTGCAATGCCAGCAAACTCGCCATTGCAAGGATTAAATAGTCAAACTTTTAATCAGGCAATCCCTTGATCGGGGATTGAATCATCTCGCCTGGTGAGTCATTATGTTATACCTGGTGCTGGTAAACCTCGATTCATAAAAATGAATACGGTTCTTCAAGAAGACACGCGAAAAACGACATTTCGTAGAGCAGAAAACGCCCTTTTCCTCGTTCTGGAAAAACAACAGAAGTTGTTCAAACACCAAATAGAAACATTTTCAAGGAATCAAGTCTCTGCATTAACCACACACAGTACCTGTGGTGAACATGCAAGCAAATATTTTTTTCATACTTTTTCATACTTTGATACCATCAAAAGAGGTCCCGTTTTGGCTTCTTCCCCCATTAACTTTTGAAAAGAAACCGAGGGATGCATCTCAGAGAGTCATTCCAACTCGACTGCGAGCCCAGAAATAACAGACACCACACCCATATCGCTTTTGACAAATACACAAATAACAATGAAGGACATGAACGGTTGTTAACCCTTTAGGGGAACTGGCATAAAAATAAGTAACATTGAAAAAAACTTTTTTTTAAACACGCTTTTATGAAATGTACTAGTAATGGGAGAACTCCACGACTCCGGGAAGTGGCCCCGAAGCTTGCCACAACGTAAGGGGACCGTGGCCAATTGCAGCCAACGTCAGTTGACCGTGGACAATTAGACCCAAGCCGAAACATTACATATAAAACAATAATTTTTAAAAATATATATCTTTTTTATGATAGAATATAGTATTGTCATCATTATAACATAAGTATACCAAGTTTGCAGTCAATACCACATTGGGAAATGGGTTAAAATTGAGTTAGAATATTGGCGGTTACAACAACAACAACAATAGACAGAGTGAGTTAAATAAAAGCGTTGTAAAAAGATCCGCCGCATGTTGGAATGCCATGGAAAGGCGATGTCCTGGGGGCGGGGGGCGTCACCGTTGCACCGTGAGAACACCGTGACAAGGCCACGGATCACAATCGGAATCTTTATTTAGATTCGAGAGGAGGAGGAATCTGATGAGCTTTGAGGCTCTTTTTCACAGATGCCCAGGGCGCGCTTCCGCTCACTCGAAAAATGGGCGATTTTAAATGGCAATTGTGGCCTCACTGGCGGAAGCATAATTACCCATGGTGGGGGGGGGGGGGGGTGGAAGTCACCAGGACAATGCAATCGGTCGATTTGACATTGAAACAAATGCTCGTCAGAAAAAAAGAGAGGGTGTATATATGTGTGTGTATATACATATTTATTTATGTACCTTTTGTGCACGTTGTTATTTTAGCATCGTTCGAAAATGTGAATGTCACGAGGAATGACACGGCGATCACCATCGCGTGGGCGAAGCCTGCCACCACCATCAACCAAACCGTCATGCTGAACGACACCAAGGACGCTGCAAACAGCTGGATCGCCTCAAAATTGGTGGCTGAATCGACGTTCACGTTCGCGGGGCTGATTCCTGGCAGGAACTATTTACTTGCCCTGTTTGTCGACTGCAATTCTACCAACAGCTCCATCAGCGGAACGTACCGAACGCGTAAGTGACGCCACCTCGTGTGCTGTTTTTATGAGAATATTGATGCCTGGCAATAGGTGTTTCCATATGGTGTTTTAACATGTTAACATGTTAACATCTGTCTGCTCTAATACCGGAAAGGGTAAAGGCTACAGGTAGTCCTCTACTTGCGATGGAGATGCGTTACGACGACCCTCATCGTAAGTCAAAAATATCGTAAGTCGAAGATGGCCTAGCCTATCCAGGAGTTTTAAAGAATGGTGATAATTTAGCAAAACAGAGCAATTTACCAGTACCGTACTGTATAAACAATATACTGTACTGTATGTATTTATTAATTACAATACTGTATTGCACAGTAAAATGTAAAGTAAAAAAAACAAGGTAAATTCTTTGCATACCTATATGAACTGCAATTTAATATAAAGTTTTGGCAGGAAAGAATCCTAACTGCTCTAGATTTGAAGCTTTCGTGACTGCAAGGATCCATACTCTTTGGTTCTATTCGGTAAAGTCACGTAGGTAAAAAATAAAACATCAAAAATCACGACGTTTCGGCCACAACACAAGCGGCCTTCATCAGGTGAAGGGGACCGTACTGTCACGAGGACAGCGTTGGAGTGAAGACAGTCCAGCCCAGGTCGTGTCCTTTTAAGCTGTGTGGGAGGAAACAAAACGCTTTGACAAAGGAATTATCATAAAATTACCGTAAAGCACAAGAGGACTGCGCACGGAGGGGGGGAGGGGGTGTGAAGTGGAACGTAGAGGACCGGCACGGGGGGGGGGGGAGTTTACAAATGTAGGTGTGAAGTGAAATAAGCTTCTATGAAAGTTTGGTATGTCACTACTTGGATAAATACCATTGAAAATTAGTTTAATGTTTGGTATGATTTAGAACATCTTTCCAATGGTTGCTTAATTTGAAACCATCTTCTCGGTTGAAATTGTGTCTGTGTTTGGAAATCTGAATTTATCCACGAGGCAATTAATTTTCAATGGTATTTATCCAAGTAGTGATATACCAAACCTTCATAGAAGTGTATTTCACACCTACATTTGTAAACTCCACCCCCCCCCCCCCCCCCGTGCTGGTCCTCTACATTCAACTTCACACCCCTCCCCCCCTCCGTGCCGGTCCTCTTGTGCTTTACGGTTATTTTATGCTAATTGCTTTGTCAAAGCGTTTTGTTTCCTCCCACACAGCTTAAAAGGACGCGACTTGGGCTGGACTGTCTTCACTCCAACGCTGTCCTCGTGAGAGCACGGTCCCCTTCATCTGACGAAGGCCGCTTGTGTTGTGGCCGAAACGTCGTGATTTTTGTTGTTTTATTTTTTACCTACGTGACTTTACCGAATAGAACCAAAGAGTATGAATCCTATCTGCTATGAAAAAAAAACTTTTAACATGCATTGAATGTATGTATCGTATCGTGGTAACCCTAAAATGAAATCGCTAACGCTACGCATCATACGTGCATTGAACTTATTGTAACGTGTCATATTGTACTGTACTCACCAAGATTCTGTCGTGCGTCTGCATACTTGAACGATGTTAAGTTGTTGATGGCTACATTAACTTAGTTGTCGGAAGAGGAGGATGGCGATGATAAAGTTACAGTATCGTACCTCGTACGCTGCTGCGTTTGCCTGCCGCACGAAAAAATATTTAACAATTTTGTCGTATCGCTATCGCCATCGTAAGATCGAAATATCGTAAGTCGGACCATCGTAACTCGGTGACTCCCTGTATTCTTATTTTTTTTTATTTTAACATTGGCAGAAAGGGCCCATAGACTTATGCTATCATCCCAATGTAAACAAATGAAGGTATCAGAGATCCGACGGATTGGCATCAAGTTAGCACGGGTTGGCTTAGGTACGGTGCGAACAGAAGGTCAACACACATACGAGGACATTTGTCAAGAGATGCAATTCCAGGTGTTCGGTTTGGTGACATTGACAGAATCAGAATCTTAATCCAATGAACTATGAAGTGCTGGTTCACGGATGTACAATAATGGAGAATGGGCGAGTACAGGGTGGTCCTGCGGTGTACAATGCCATCGATGTAACGATATTTCAATTGAGGATCCGCCTCCCATAGGGTCCGCCCCATTTGTTTCTGTTTGCGAGAGATTTTAGATTAACAATGTGTTCACGATATGATGCGGAACCCGCCAATGTCAGCCAATCGGAACGCTCCTAAGTGGACTCGGCAGCAGACCTCGGCCAATCAGCGACGTTCCTTTCAGGAGCTTTTTGACAGCAAGTGGCTGCTAGGTTTTCAAAGTTAGAATGCGTGTTGTTTTTGTTACTTGAACGTTAAATAAGATCAATAACAATGGCCACTAAAATTAATTTGAAGGGAGACAAGAAAGTGACAAGAACAATGATATGCAAGCACCAAATATTGAAAAACACTACAGAGGTGTAAAAACAAGGGTTCTTAACATATTATTAGAACGTTCATTTATTAAAATTGCCTGTTTAAATATCATCAACTATGTTTGAAGGTTGAAAAGGGTCTACTTCCGATCGTATTGGAAACAAACTCAGGGGCCGTCCATAAATGACGTCACGCACCTGGGAGGGGGGGGGTCAGACAGTTGTGACGATGTGTGACGAGGGGGGGGGGGGGGTTGAGAAATGTGACGTCACGTAAAAATGTGCAACTTAAAAAATACAGAATTGTTATAACAACACTAATTGTTATAACAACACTCCTACAACATCAGAGTGCAGTGCCACATTAAATACGCACTACAATGACTTTAGTTTAAAGCGATTTGAAGCATGTTTTATTTTCAAAATGGAAATATGGTTTGGGGGGGGGGGCAGAAATTTGTGACGTCATATTTGAGGGGGGTTCTGACTTTTTGTGACGCCGTGTGACGAGGGGGGGGGGGGGTCAAAAATCGTGTGACGTCATTTATGGACGGGCCCTAAGCCATTAACATGAATTTATCTCAAATTTAGCAATCTTTGGAAGAATGTGATCAACCAGGTAGGGTGTTGACTGTTGTGTTAGCCGACTCTCTATGCTTTATTTGCATTATATTTCTAAGTTTACTACGTTTGTTTTCTCTTTCATTCGACCCTGATGATGATTGTTTGTGTTGCAATCGAAACGTCGTATGTTATTATTGAATTGATTTTTCTTTCTCCGAAAGAACCAAAGAGTAAATTAACAATGCTTTCAAATTTACGATCGATTTTTTCGTTGAAGGCTGAAGAGATTTTCTGACGTAATTGAAGGATTTAGTTTGTTTGTAAAATAAATATTCATGAAAACAGGAGAGCACAGGAATACCGCGAGGATGTCCGAGTCCAATAGATGTCCATATCACAGTAACCGTTGTATCTGACGTGCTGTTACTTTAATGTCTTTAGTTTGCGGCAAATACAGCCCTTGAAATGTGTTCGTGTCTAAATATTGATTTTGCCGTTGCAGTGCCTCCAACAGTCAATGTCACCATCAGCATCAACAGCTCTACAGCCATGACGGTCTCATGGGCACCAAATATTATTGTAGACGTTGACTACTACATGGTCTACTTGGATGAAATCAATAACTCAACAGCAGTGAGGATCCACAATTTGACCTCCACCAATACAGCACAAGAGTTTACAGATCTGGTTCCTGGTAGAAGTTACCAGGCATCTGTAACAGCGCACAGTGGCAATGGCTCCCAACCATCATCCAACGTCACTGCCAGGACATGTACGTATATATGCAGCGTTCATCATCGTGTAATCAGTTTGATATTTGTTTAAAACATGCTCAAAAATCGACAACATTTAAAACTACTTATTAAATGTGTCCCCAATTATTGACAACATTAAATAATGTAATTAAGACGTCTTTAAGGAACGACAGCATATGAAGTAAATTTCACGAGTTAAAAGTGTTATGTTTGTTGTGTACTTTAAAAAGTATCGAATTGATTGTACATTTGATAATCAGTGCACATTCAATCAACAGGTGTTGAATATGTTAAATTATCAAACATGTTCTGTCATAAAACATCTACAAGCTTAGAAAAAGAGAAAGCCCAACCCTGTGCTCATAGATTACATGAATCTGTACCTAATATCGGTTGATTTTATGCATATTCTAGGTATGTGTTGAACTCTTACCGCCGTATATAGCCAACCGTGTTAATCAGAGGTACTGGGAAAGACAATAAACTAAACTAAATACAAAAATAATTCCAATCTACAGTATATTGATTAATGGTGACTAACCCAACCAATTATAGGTACAGTACTGCATATTCTCAGATTTAAAATAATTCATTGTTATTTATACGACCACAATAACCCCACTCTGGTCTTCGCACCTGATAGGCTCACAGTGATGACATTACCTTTACTCTATTTAAGACCGAACCAGGAAGACTTCTTCACAATTCTGGCAAATCGCCCGATGAAGCTGGTTGTAATTACCAGCAAAACGCCAAAATGTAAATGTTGTGGGTTTAATCTCCAACACACCGTTGTGTTGCAGAAATAACTGGCATGTTTTGTTCATATGACAAACCTTACTCAGTGGCTTTGTCTGGTGGTGGTGGGTTTACGGCACATTCATATTTACGCGTTTTAACCCCAAAATAACCTTTATTATGCATACTATTGGTGGTGAAAGCATGCTTTTAGACTGCTTATGCAATGCGGCTTGACACAATTCTGCATGAAAGGTAATGATTTGAACAAGTTTGTATTATATTTACACATCACAGGCGCGTGTTTGATTGATTATTTAATAGTAATTAATGTTTAGAATTCAATACAAATATCTACATTAATCACCCAGGAATGTCTGTTGTTAACGTGCCGAACCCCTAATTAATAATCATGAGCTGATGACGTCACTCACGTGGAACCCGCACCCACCCCCTTATTAGTAATCATGAGCGGTCTTGATTTGAAGCTTTCGTGATGGCAGGAATCCATCCTCTTTGGATCTTTCGGTAAAGTCACGTAGTTAGAAATGAAATGAAACAAATCACGACGTTTCTAACGCAACACAAGCGGTCGTCATCAGGCAAAAGGGGTCAGCCTCTATATTATATTTACGCATCATAAAGAGGCTGACTCCTTGGCCTGATGACGACCGCTTGTGTTGCGATCGAAACGTCGTGATTTGTTTTATATCATTTCTAACTACGTGACTTTACCGAAAGACCCAAAGAATAATCATGAGCGGGTCATTAGTTTCGATTAAATATTTCAGATTAACTGCAATTTCCACCCGTCCTTGGACGGGCTATAAGCTAGTTCATAAATAACCACAGTGTAACATGAGTCACCATTATTGTGAAGCAGAGGTGGAAAGCTGAAGTTTACTGGATTTGGAAGGCTGAAGAGATTTGTGACGTAGTTGAAGGATTTAGTTTGTTTGGAAAATAAATAGTCATGAAAACAGGAGAGCACAGGAATACCGCGAGGATGTCCGAGTCCAATGGAAGTCCATATCACAGTAACCGTTGTATCTGACGTGCTGTTACTTTAATGATTTTAGTTTGCGGCAAATACAGCCCTTGAAATGTGTTCGTGTCTAAATATTGATTTTGCCGTTGCAGTGCCTCCAACAGTCAATGTCACCATCAGCATCAACAGCTCTACAGCCATGACGGTCTCATGGGCACCAAATATTATTGTAGACGTTGACTACTACATGGTCTACTTGGATGAAACCAATAACTCAACAGCAGTGAGGATCCACAATTTGACCTCCACCAATACAGCACAAGAGTTTACAGATCTGGTTCCTGGTAGAAGTTACCAGGCATCTGTAACAGCGCACAGTGGCAATGGCTCCCAACCATCATCCAACGTCACTGCCAGGACATGTACGTATATATGCAGCGTTCATCATCGTGTAATCAGTTTGATATTTGTTTAAAACATGCTCAAAAATCGACAACATTTAAAACTACTTATTAAATGTGTCCCCAATTATTGACAACATTAAATAATGTAATTAAGACGTCTTTAAGGAACGACAGCATATGAAGTAAATTTCACGAGTTAAAAGTGTTATGTTTGTTGTGTACTTTAAAAAGTATCGAATTGATTGTACATTTGATAATAGGGACACGTTAAATCAACAGGTGTTGTATATGTTAAATGATCAAACATGTTCTGTCATAAAACATCTACAAGCTTAGAAAAAGAGAAAGCCCAACCCTGTGCTCATGGATTACATGAATCTGTACCTAATATCGGTTGATTTTATGCATATTCTAGGTATGTGTTGAACTCTTACCACCGTATATAGCCAACCGTGTTAATCAGAGGTACTGGGGAAGACAACAAACTAAACTAAATACAAAAATAATTCCAATCTACAGTATATTGATTAATGGTGACTAACCCAACCAATTATAGGTACAGTACTGCATATTCTCAGATTTAAAATAATTCATTGTTATTTATACGACCACATTAACCCCACTCTGGTCTTCGCACCTGATAGGCTCACAGTGATGACATCACCTTTACTCCTCTACTTATAACCGAACCGGGAAGACGTCTTCACAATACTGGCAAATTGCTACATAACGCTGCTTGTAATCACCAGCAAAATGCCAAATTGTAAATGTTGTGGGTTTAATCTCCACACCGTTGTGCTGAAGTAACTGGCATGTTTTTTTACATTATGAGACCTCGTTTGCCAGTAACAAGATATAGTGATAGGTTTTTACCCTTTTATCTTGCACAAAAACTGACACCTTGAAACAAGGGATCATGTTTGCAATAACCACAACACAAGCAGTCAAAATGCAACACCAGTGGAGACTAGGCTCTAAGAAAAGCCGTCTCGGATGTGGACCAATCAAATTCAAGGACAGTACATATCATTATCAGAGTTGTCTCTTTTTTGTTTGCATTTTGACTACTTGTGTTGTGGTTATTGCAAACATGATCCCCTTGTATAAAGGTGTCAGTTTTTGTGCCAGAGTAAAGGGTAAAAATGCATAATATTGGTGGTGAAAGGTTACTTTTAGACTGCTTATTTAAGTAATCACACCTGATGATGATGATTGCTTGTGTTGCAGTCGAAACGTCGTGATAATTTTATTGTTTTATATTTGTATTATTTTATTGTTTCCCTTCTACGTGACTTTACCGAAAGAACCAATAGTATAATTAATAGTAATAAACATGTTTAGGAGGCAATACAAATTAATTAATGATTACAGTATTCCATGAGTCACCATTATTGTAAAGCAGAAGTGGAAAGCTGAAGTTTACTGGATTTGGAAGGCTGAAGAGATTTTCTGATGTAATTGAAGGATTTATTTTATTTGTAAAATAAATGTTCATGAAAACAGGAAAGCACACGAATACCGTGCGGATGTCCGAGTCCAATAGAAGTCCATGTCATAGTAAGTAACCGTTGTGTCTGACGTGGTGTTACTTTAAAGACTTTAGTTTATGGCAAATACAACCCTTGAAATGTGTGCGTTTCTAAATATTGATTTTTGCCGTTGCAGTGCCTCCAACAGTCAATGTCACCATCAGCATCAACAGCACTACAGTCATGACGGTCTCATGGGCACCTATTATTACTGTAGACGTTGACTACTACATGGTCTACTTTAGTGGACGTACCAACGAAAAATTGAAGAGCGACAGTTTGACCACCAATACAACACAAGAGTTTACTGATCTGGTTCCTGGTAAAAGTTACCAGGCATTTGTAACAGCGCACAGTGGCAATGGCTCCCAACCATCAGCCACCGTCACTGCCAGGACATGTGCGTATATATGCAGCGTTCATCATTGTGTAATCAGTTTGATATTTGTTAAAAACATGCAAAAAAATGGACAACATTTAAAACACTCATTAAATTTGTCCCCAATTAATGACATTAAATAACCGAATTAATACGTCTTTAATGATCGACAGCATATTTAGTAATTTCAAACAATGAATTTTTTTACGTTGTTGCGTACTTTTAAAAGTAACGAATTAATTGTACATTTGATAATCGATACACATTAAATCAACAGGTGTCTCCAATTATTGACAACATTAAATAATGTAATTAATACGTCTTTAAGGAACGACAGCATATGAAGTAATTTTCACGAGTTAAAAATGTTATGTTTGTTGCGTACTTTTAAAAGTATCGAATTGATTTTACATTTGATAATAGGGACACGTTGAATCAACAGGTGTTGTAAATGATCTAACATGTTCTGTCATAAAACATCTACAAGCTTAAAAAAAAGAGAATTCCCAAACTGTGCTTATGGATTACATGAATTTGTTCCTAATGTCGATATATTTTATGCATATTGTAGGTATGTGTTGAACTTCTTAGCACTGTATATAGCCAACTGCGTTAATCAGAGGTATGAGGAAGGACAACACACTAAACTAAATACAAAAATCATTCCACCTTACAGTATATTGATTAACGGTGACTAACCCAACCGATAATAGGTACAGCACTGCAAGTTCTCAGATTTACATAATTCATTGTCATTTATGCAACCACATTAACCCAACTGTGGTATACACACCTGATAGGCTCACAGTGATGACATCACTTTTACTCTATTTAAGACCGAACCAGGAAGACTACTTCACAATTCTGGAAAATCGCCTGATGAGCCTGGTTGTAATTACCAAGGAAACGTCAGATAGTAAATGTTGTGGGTTTAATCTCCAACACACCGTTGTGCTGAAGAAGTAACTGGCACGTTTTGTTTACGTGAAAAGCCTTACTAAGTGGCTGTGTCCGTGGTGGTGGGTTTACGACACATTTATATTTACGCGATCTAACCCAAAAATGACCTTTATTATGCATATTGGTGGTGAAAGCGTACTTTTAGGCTGCTTATGCAATGCGGCTCGACACAATTCTGATATGAACATTGAGTGCCCTATTTTGGAGGAATGCTGAGCTTCGTTATAATCTCTCGAAGCGAGACTCTTTGAGGCTCTGGCCTTTTCTGGTTATTGGGAATATCCAGCATTAAGTAAAATAATGACTTGAACAAGTTTATATTATATTTACACATCATAGGAGAGTGTTTTATGTATTACTTAATAGCAATTAACATGTTTAGAATTATTTACAAATTGATAAATGATTACAGTATACCATGAGTTTAACACGTAGGCTTTCGCGACCAATATTATTCATAATAAAGGTTTTTGGGTTAGATCGCGTTATTTATAAATGTGTCGTAACCCTCCACCACCCATCAGCAAAAAAGTGTCACGTTGACAAAAGACAAATAATTCACTACTTTAGCCCACCGGTGTGTTGAAGAGTGAATCCACATTTACAGTTTGAGTACGACGTTTCGCTGGTAAATACATCCAGCATCATCGGGCAATTCGCCAGAATGGTAAAGCCCTCGCTTGCTCCCGGTTTTAAATAGAGCAGCAGGGTGACGTCATCATTTAACTCATATCAGGTGCAGTGATTAGAGGCGGAGGGGGGGTATTGTAATTATATAATCGATTAGTAATCAGTCAATGGTTATGATTAGTAATGAGTTGTAGATTAGTAATTATTTGTAATGTGTGTTAGTGATTATATGCTATGTTAGTAATCCGTTAATTAGTATGTGTTTCCCCTATAAGGAATTGTAATGTGCATTCATATTCTTAGCTTCCTCGGCAAAGTCACTCGTTGGGGGGAAGCAATAAAATAATAAAGTATATATATTTTTGGTTTTGTTGTTTCCCTTCAGCGTGACATTGCCGAGGGAGCTAAGAATATGAATGCACATTACAATTCCTTATAGGGGAAACACATACTAATTAATGGATTACTACCATAGCATATAATCACTAACACACATTACAGCTATTAACTAATCTACAACTCATTAATCATAACCATTGACTGATTACTAATCGATTATATAATTACAATACCCCCCCTACGCCTCTAATCACTGCACCTGATATGAGTTAAATGATGACGTCACCCTGCTGCTCTATTTAAAACCGGGAGCAAGCGAGGGCTTTACCATTCTGGCGAATTGCCCGATGATGCTGGATGTATTTACCAGCGAAACGGCATACTCAAACTGTAAATGTTGTGGATTCACTCTTCAACACACTGGTGGGCTAAGGTAGTGAATTATATGTCTTTTGTCAACGTGACACTTTTTTTGCTGATTGGCCGTGTCGGGTGGTGGAGGGTTACGACACATTTATAAATAACGCGATCTAACCCAAAAACCTTTTATTATGAAGTATACCATGAGTCACCATTATTGTAAAGCAGAGGTGGAAAGCCGAAGTTTACTAGATTTGGAAGGCTGAAGAGATTTTTTATACGTATTTGAAGGATTTAGTTCGTAATATAAATGTTCATGAAAACAGGAGATCACACGAATACCGCGAGGATGTCCGAGTCCAATGGAAGTCCACATCACAGTAACCGTTGTATCTGACGTGCTGTTACCTTAATCACTTTAGTTTACGGCAAATACAGCCCTTGAAATGTTTTCGTGTCTAAATATTGTTTTTGCCGTTGCAGTACCTCCAACAGTCAATGTCACCATCAGCATCAACAGCTCTACAGCCATGACGGTCTCATGGGCACCAAATATTATTGTAGACGTTGACTACTACATTGTCTACTTGAATGAAACCAGTAACTCAACAGCAGTGAGGATCCACAATTTGACCTCCGCCACTACACCACAAGTGTTTACAGATCTGGTTCCTGGTAGAAGTTACCAGGCATCTGTAACAGCGCACAGTGGCAATGGCTCCCAACCATCAGCCAACGTCATTGCCAGGACATGTACGTATATGCAACGTTCATCTTTGTGAAATCGCTTTGTTTTTCGTAAACACGTGCTCAAAAATCGACATGTTTAATAACTTGTTGAATACATCCTCAATTATTGACATGAAATAACTTAATGCATCCTTAATTATCAAAATTCAGTAACTTTCAAGAATTGAAAATTACATGTTGCACATACTTATAAAAACACATACACTATAAGTTTAATAATGAGGACAGATTCAATCAACAGGTAACTATTTTTTATTATAAAAAAAGTATGCTGCATTTTAATGTCGATTAATTATCAAATATCGACATGTATACAATCCGACCCATTGTTCGATAATTGAATAATCTAATTCCAAAATAAATTCCTCTAAATAATTTTAACCGCATTCCATCTGGCACGTTCCACCAGGCTGGCTGATGCTCTCTTTCTCGCCCAGCCTTTGCTATGGACGCCGTTACTAGGGACGCCGTTACTAGGGACGCCGTTACTAGGGACGCCATTACTAGGGACGCCGTTACTAGGGACGCCGTTACCAGGGACGCCGTTACCAGGGACGCCGTTACTAGGGACGCCGTAACTAGGGACGCCGATCGCAAGCCTGGTGGTCCTCACGGCCAGCAGAGAAACGGTTTTAATTCCCAGTACACATCAGCTCGTTAGTGTAGCAGGATTTAGAATTCTGTAGTCCACATAAGGTCGTAGAATCATTTTTATTTTTGCTTGCACACCGTCTGATGGCGTGCTTTGAAACAATGATTAATTCTTACCCTCATCTATGGAAACATGGATTTGCATAGAAGTTTATCAAGTTCGTACAGTGGGACTTGATACGGATATATGTATATTTACACTGAATACGGAGCGTGTATGATTGATTGCTTATTAATAAATAGGTACACATTTACAATTTAAAACACTTTGACGAAAGATTACAGTTCAATACGAGTCCCCATCATTGCAAAGCAGAGGTGGAAAGCTGAAGTTTACTGGATTTGGAAGGTTGAAAAGTCTTTCTGACGTAATTTAAGGATGTATTTAATTTGTAAAATGTTAATTAAGAATAACCCATTAATTCCACGTGGATGGCCTAGTACATATCACAGAAATTGTAACTGTTGTATCTAATGCGTTGCATGTTACTTTATTAACTTTAGCTTATGGCAAATGCAGCCCTTCAAATGTGTACTTATCTAAATATTGTATTTGGCGTTGCAGTACCTCCAAGAGTCAATGTCACCATCATCATCAAAAACTCTACAGCCATGACGGTCTCATGGATACCTACAATTCCTGTCGACGTTGACAACTACACCTTCTACTTGAATGAAACCAAAAACTCAACAGCAGTGAGGAGCTATGATTTATCCTCCACCAATACAATACAAGTGTTTACAGATCTAATTCCTGGTAGACTTTACCAGGCATCTGTAACAGCGCACAGTGACAATAACTCCCAACCATCAGCCATCGTCACTGAAAGAACCTGTACGTATATATGCAGTATTCATCATCGTGTAATCACTTTGATGTTGACATTTAAAATACTTATTAAATTTGTCCCCAAATATTGACATTACATAACGGAATTAATACGTCTTTAAGGATCGACAGCATATGAAGTAATTTCCAAGAATTAAAATTATCAAGTTTGTTGCATACTTTTAAAAGTAACGATTGGTCTCAGCAAGGTAAAGTAATTTACCCTGTTTACCGGGTAAAAGGTTAAAGGGTAAAGGTGTCGGCCATGCCAAGGGGTAAGGTAAAGGGTAGGGTAAAGGTAGCGTGGAAGAATTACCCAGTAGGGTATAGGTAGCACGAAGTATATTACCTGGCAAATACCCTGTTTACTGCTCGCTGAAAGCTCCGTGGCATAGTTCGTGGCCTCCATTTTAAATCGAGAGTATTCGATATGAATGAAGTGCTGTACCTAGAATTTACCTGTTATAAACCTTTTACGTGTGTAGTACCGCAGTAATTATCCTGTATTTGGGTAATTTGTATGGGGTAGGGTTAAAGGTAGGGTTAAGGTAGGCTCGTTGCTTTTGAACTTTTACCTTACCTTGCTAAAGGGTAAACGGTAAGGGTAGAGTGATTGTATTGTGGTAAGGTAAAAGATAGGGTAAAGGTAGGCTCGTTGTTTTTACCTTTTACCTTACCTTGCCGAGGCCTAAGTAACGAATTAATTGTACATTTGATAATCGGTACCCATTAAATCAACAGGTGTTGTATATGTTAAATTATTAAACATGTTCTGTCATTAAACATCTATAAGCTTAGAAAAATAGAATGCCCAACCCTGTGCTTATGGATTACGTGAATCTGTTTGAAATATTGGTATATTTTATGCATATTCTAGGTATGTGTTGAACTTCTTTAGCACCGTATATAGCCAACCATGTTAATCAGAGGTGCGGAGGAGGACAACAAACTAAACTAAATACAAAAATCATTCCACCTTACAGTATATTGATTAACGGTGACTAACCCAACCGATAATAGGTACAGTACTGCGTATTCTCAGATTAACATAATTATAATACCTTTTACACCCATAATACTGAGATTCCATTATATTTCTGTAATGCTGCACTCGTTAGTGATGCCGTTAATCGTTCAGCTCAGCTTTCCAAGTGTTTTCTTGTTGTGAGCCTTTCCATATCTTGTCAAGGCCTCCCCCATTCACGTCTATTCCCGTGTTAGTCATTGTTCTTCTCTAGTGAAGTAGAACCCATCTTAATGATGGTAATTGGTTCCACGAAACCGGTCGTAAAGTGATTTGATCATTAAGTGAGTAGATGTTTCGACTTTAAAGCACAGCAGACACCGAACGTAAACAATGCCCCAATGCTTACGAATGAATGTCACCAATTGGCCGAGGCCTGGCCAGACTTCTTTGGAGCTTGTCGATTGGCCGAAAATGGTGGTCTCGTCTCTAAGCCGGTCGTTAACCGGGTGAATGGTCGATAAGCGAACACATTGGGTTCTATGGAGGTCCGTCGTTAAATGATTAGTTGATAACAGGGGTTATGATAGGGGTTATTGACAGATAACAAGAGGGGTACTACTGTACAGCAATAGTCAACATGGATAAAATAGAATATAACAACAAAATTCAAGAATTACTCAACGATGGCAGCTATACAAAAATAAAGAGATCCCACCAACAGCCTCGTCATACAAACCAACAAAATCATTTCTGATTCAACCGCATTAATTGATCAAACCAAATAGTTTTCATTGAAACCTTCTGCTGCCAGGCCACCAAGATTATACGGCTTACCAAAAATACATAAAGTAGATAAACCCCTTCGTCCCATTGTCTCTACTATCAACTCCCCCACGGCCTTTCACTGGAAAAACCACCTCTGCGGTACAAAATTCTACTCACTTGGTATCGACAATCAAGGGTATTTCCCTGTCCCCAGATGACCTGCTTGTCAGTTTTGATGTAGTTTCCTTATTCACCAAATTCCTGTACCTGACACCATCACAATCATTGAAGACTTGGTTCATCAAGGACTAAACACTGAGATACCCCCCCTGGTGAGACACTGCTTAACCAATACATACTTCACTTGGAATGGAACTTTCTACAAACAAACTGAGGGCACCCCAATGGGCTCCCCCCTATCTCCGGTTGTAGCCAACATTTTCATGGAGAAATTTGAGACTGACGCCATCCAGACTGCCACTCTGTGCCCAACCTTATGGAAGAGGTACGTGGATGACACTTTTGTCATCTGGCCACATGGCCGGCATGCTCTAGACCAATTCTTTGATCACATCAATTCCATACACCCAGCCATCAGATTTACCATGGAAGTCGAAAAAGATGGCAAGCTACCTTTTTTTGGATGTCCAAATTAAAAAGAGACCTGATGGTTCAATGAGCCACTCTGTATACAGGAAAGCTACCCATACGGATGCTTACCTGAAACCGGATTCCCACCACCATCCATCCCAGAAGAATTCCCTCATCAAGTCTCTGCACCATAGAGCCCAATGCATATCCGACCAGAAACACATAGCCAGTGAACTCAAGCATGTACACCAAGCTCTTAAGGCTAATGGTTACTCCGACAACACAATCCGCAAAGCTATCACTCCAACCATAAAGAAGGACCCTCTTGAGGAGCCTTTCAAAACCATTACTTTACCCTACATTGCGGGCATCACAAAGAATATCTCCAAAATCTTGAATAAACACAAGATCCAGGTCCGATTTAACACATTACATAAAATCCGTGATCTGGTTCTGTCTGTAAAATATGTGATTCCGGACATACAGTACCCTGGCGTCTACAAACTAAGTTGCCTCTGTGGTAGTAGTTACATTGGAGAAACCAAACGACATGGCTCGTACCGCATTCGTGAACACAAAGCAGACCTAAAACACGGTAGGACCAACACCTTGGCCGTGGCAGATCACTGTTATAATTCAGTAGGCTCTCATGACATTGACTTCTCCAAGACAGAGGTTCTTTGCAAGCGATCTGGCTACCATGAGAGATTCGTTTATGAGGCTATCCACATATACAAACACAGAGACAATTTCAACCGAGAAGATGGATTCTGGCTTAGCAATCATTGGAAGGATTTGATAAACCATTTCGGGTCTTAAATGATTGTTCACGCTTACGGTGGCTTTCAGACCGCATCCATTATTTTTCGTCTCCCCCCTCCTCTTTTCCGAACATAGATGGACTCGTCCGTCTGAACAAACTGTCAAATCGCTCTCCGTGGTGCTAACGTTAAAAATAACCGCCACTTTTTTTCAAATTTTCTTGCTGTGGTTTTCACACCTGATGATTATTGCTTGTGTTGCAGTCGAAACGTCGTGAGAATTTTATTGTTTTATATTTTTTATTATTTTATTGTTTCCATTCTACGTGACTTTACCGAAAGAACCAAGAATATAGCAAAAGTTATGTTATCCAGCATACACGGGGAATGGAGGGTGCTGGGGAAATCAAATATGCTGGTTATCTGAGAGTTATACTTACAGTTCACCAAATTTACCAAGTGCATAACGCTTTCAAGAAATAAAGTGCGCCTCCATTTTAACGATGAGATGAGAAATAACAGTCTCTTTTAACAAAGGGAGTCACCAGTCAGTTGTGGAGCATTTTAAGTTGATTGGAGAGAGGCATTGACGGCCGTTAAGAGTACAGTATACAAATTAGATTAGAAGATTTCGTGACTGCAGGAATTACTCTTTGGTTATTTCGGTAAAGTAACGTAGAAAGAAAATAAATTAAATAATAGAATACGACGTTTCGATTGCAATACAAGCAACCATCATCAGCTGTGAATGAATGAGAAAACAGACCTAGTAAACGTAGAAATGTAATGCAAGACAACACAGAGAGTCGGCTAACACAACAGTCAATACCCTACCTGGTTGATTACGTTCTTCCAAAGATTGCTACATTTCAGAGACAAAACACAGACACGGAGACGCATAGACATACACACAAGCAGATAGAGACACACACAGAGACGCACAGAGAGATAGAGACACATGTATACAGTAGTATACTGTAGTATGTATACTACTGTATACATACTACAGTATACAGTAGTACAGTACTGTATGTACAGGCTGCCCCAAGCGCCAACACTCGGTAGCATTCTGAAGCTCCCGTAAACAACAGCTCTGCGATAATCGCATGGCAAGATGCCGGATGGCTGTCGGAATGTTTCCAGATGCGTGGTGGAAGATTTGCATCGTCGTCTATATGACGGACGCCGGTTAATAGAGCATTCCGCATTCTCCGTTCTAAATCTCTCCTACCCCTCACCGTTCCCCCCTTTCTCCTTGTGGACAATCACCGTACTCTTTGGGTATTTCGGTAAAGTCACGTAGGTCTAAAACAAAAATAAAACACCGTTTCCGCTCCTTCTCCTTGCTTGTCCCCTTGCACCGGAACACACTTCCCCTCCACATGAAGCGAGAAGCAAGCTCCCTATCTAGTTTCAGCTCCTAACTCAAGACCCCCACCTCCTCTGCCTGGCCCTTCCTTTCCACTCCATCCCTAGGTACCCCCGTAATTCCCGTACCCACTAATCTCCCTTTGCCATGTAGGTAGCGCCCATACTGTACACAATGTAAAAAGTATAAACATTTATTTTGTATTTTGTTTGGGGGGGGGGGGGGAAATTACCATGAAGTGTGTGGCGTCAATCTTTCAGCAAAAACTCTCCAACGCTGAACTCTGACGTCGTGACATTTGCACAGCTTATGCTCTGCAATTTCTAAGTGAACGCGACTATATCGTCTATATTCGTTCATTGAATACACTTAAAACTAGGACTTAACGGGTACAACTGCTAGTATAAGATAAGGTAAAGTGCCGGTTAAGAGAGTTTTTGCTGTAGTTGTGGTTTCTGAATTGATTTTATTTCACCTCGCCATGTCACCAGCTGTAGTCATCCGACTCTTTTGCCTTCTTTCGTTCCACTTACTCCGCACACATTGCGAATGTGTTCAGGGAACAAGATCAACACCAGATTGCAGCGAATGAAAATGTGACACCCCCAACGTCCACAGCATAAGACAAGTGCCTGACTAGCAGTGTGTTCACTAGAGATGTGGAGATACAATCTGTCTTCGTTGTGGCCTTCTTGGTCTGTGGTCTTGATTGGAGACTAGTGTACCAAAAAAGCTTTAGAACCACTGGTCTAGAGGTTTGGTATTTCAGGAAATTTAGCATCAAGCCAAATTCGTGTTTCCTTCACAAAACCAGTGCGATCCCTGTCTTCCTCAAAACAGATTACCAAGAGATTTTTACTTGGAGTGTCCTTTTTTCCTTCTTTACACAATCGGAGTTTTGTGACAGTCAAACCAATATTTTTAATTCCCATTCGGTAGACTGCAACTTTGGTGGGAGGCCATCAGCTTGGCATCTTTAACCCGTTTCCCGTTCCGAGATATCTGCCAAGTTGCAGGTTGTGGGGTGTCCCGTTCACCATCGCATCTCGGAACGCGCGAGTGGCTGGGCGTTAATTTTATTGAGAGTGGCGTAGTAGCAGCGCCGTTGTTTTGAAAGGTATTGTTACTTACTGCAGAGAACCTCAGCGACACGACGTTCCCCTTCCAATGACGTAAAAGCTGATGACGTACACACCTACATGTGTACAGACGTACGTCATCAGTTTTTACATCACTGATGACGTACACACGTACGTACCCTTTCCGCTTCCGATGACGTAAAAACTGATGACGTAGCGCGTACGTCATAAGTTTTGATGATGTACATGTGTACTGATGTAAGTGTGTACGTCATCAATTTTTACGTCATTGGAAGGGGAAAGGGTTAAGAATCCGGTTTAATTACATGTGGCTGAAACGCTGGATTAGATCCCAAGATCTTGGCGATGCCAGCTCCGTGTCTGACCCCCGAACGAATTGGTCACTTCTCCATCAGTGTTCTCCAAGGGGGAGTCATAGTCTTAGGACATGTCTGTTTTCATGACTTATTTTATTTTGGTGGCTGGATGGCTCAAAATAAATGACTTGTTGATGTAATAAGATGTAAAAAATCCTACGTGTTAAAATGTGCGTATAATATTGTTGCTTATCTTTACGTATTAATATCAAGTATTTAAACTTTTCCTATAGTCGCTTAATGACAAAATCACTTAATGACCGGGTTTTGTGGAAACCAATTGGCGTCATTAAGAGGGGATTCTACTGTAATGTCATAGCATGTTCGTTTGCATGTTTCACTAACAGCATGATGCGTGGCGACTGCAGTCTTGATGATGTCTCTGCAATAGGTGTGTGTGTGGGGGTCTATTTGGGCGTTCAAACATCTTAACACCTTTTTCTTGGTTCTTTCGGTAAAGTCACGTAGAAGGGAAATAATAAAATAAAAAACGTAATAAAATAAAATTATCACGACGTTTCGGCCACAACACAAGCAGCCGTCCTCAGGTAAAGAAACAGAACTGTCGGAAAGACAGCGCTCTAATGAGCGCTGTTTTATTTTTATTATTTTATTATTTCCCTTCTACGTGACTTTACCGAAAGAACCAAGAAGATGAATCCCTGCAGTCACGAAAGCTTTAAATCGAAATCTTAACACCTTTTATCACCAGGAAAGGGGTTGAAGCCCATACTTGTCAACTCCTCATCAGTACCCTACCATATTACAGACAAATTCAGACCTTATTGCTCACCCCGTACCCCTTATAAATCTCAACGTTCATCCGATACACTACACTATACACTGTTATACACGACACTATACACTGTTATACACGACACTATACACTACACTATACACTACACTACTATACACCTGTCAACCCCTTATCAGTACCCTACTTTATTACAGACCAATTAAGACCTCATTGGTCACCCCGTGCCCCTTATAAATCGCAACGTTCATCCTACACAGCCCCATCACAAGGGAGAAACGCAAACAAATAGACATTAAAAAAAAAGTGTTTGCTCGTATTGAAACGGATCTACGCCGTATAGATCTGAAAACTCAATTTTCCTTGTACAAGAATACGGGGTGAACCGTGTGGGTTTGACATGGTGTGTTGAAGCCCCTTCTTATATTTTTTAATTCACTGTAACGCAATCAGAATATGAACGCGACAGCGCAGCGGCGTGGGCCAATCAGACGCCCTGACGTGCGGTGTGAATTTCTCAATCGAAACCCTCCGTGGCGCCGTGCTGTCCTGCTTTTCCGTGCGACCTCCCCCTCCCGAACCCCTCCATCCTTTCGGGTGGCACAGGGTCAGTTTCCGTGCATACACGTACATCCCGGGCGCACGCTCCGTCCGCGCTGGGAGCAAAGCCCTCTGGTGGCTGAATGGCTCAAAATAAATGACTTGTTGATGTAATAAGATGTTAAATATCTAATTTATATCTCATTTAACATCATGCAAGAACCTGAAGCAACTATCCCGAAGATATCAAAGACATGGGCCCAGGGTTACATCCTGGAGTTAATATAATAAAGTACAAGATTCTGCAAGTATAATATTCACTGAACTTCAGAGCAGTTAATATTTTTGGGAATATATCTGATGACGACTGTGAGCATAGCAGTGCCATTTTAGTTTATTGTACAATGTTGATCATCATGGTTACATATCTCTTTCCTTTTACAGATCCAGCACCTGTCGATGCATTTCAATGCTTCCAGAATACCTCGACGAATATTTACTGCAATTGGTCTGGCCCCATTGGTGAATTCACAAATCTTTTATTGCGGGTGTTTGAGGGCTCTAATCACTTGCAAAACATCACTATTTCAAATGAGAACCTCCACTATGTAATCGCATATGCATCGGGCAGTGCAGATACATTCTTACAGTCCAACACAACAACCAATAAAACGTTCACCACAATTGAACAGCTGAAGCCGAGCACTCTTTACACAGTCAAAATCGTGGTCATTGCCGAATCTCTGGAAAGTCAAAGCAATGAAGTCAACGCAACGACCGACGTGGCCGGTGAGCGAACGCGTCCGTCCGTCGCAAATGCATATGTGGCAATCTGTGCGAGTCTAGGAATGTAGCGCGGAGAGATCTCTTTGTAACGTCCGTCAGAAAAGTTAACTTTTTGTAACAAATGGATATGGCAAAAAAAATTACGTACAGTCATGTTGTCCTATAACGTGATAGAAGTTGCGTTCTTGAAGAACAACCGCATTATGGAAAAATAGCGTTGTCTATATGAATAAAGACCTTAATCTATATGTGTGTATGTATGTTTACAACACCTCTAGGGTACTTCCCGACAAGGTAGAAAGCTGAAATTCAGTTCACAGGTAGTTTTTGGGACACAAACAACAGGGAGAGATCTGAAAATACGATATTTGTAAAGTTAAGGCCCCCCAAAATCTCGATTTTAAGCGCTCCAGAAGCAAGTCTGTGCACGTGGTGTCATTCAGAAACCGTTCAAAATATAAGATTCCGGATTGTTTCGTTTTTATAGAGCATTAGACAGCAAATACATTAAATTGACAACCATTGGGGTTGTAACTTTTATTGTTTTTAAATATTTCAGATCCAAGCGGTTTTAATGAAAAAAAATGCAATTTATGAAGTTCACATCAGAATAATTCGAAAACGATAAAAGATAGGAGAGCTTCCCCTCGTAGACTAATAAGTTAATTGCTTTTAGTTCCTTTTAATAGAAAAATAATGGAATCTTTAAATTGAGTCGTTTCCAATGGGTACGTCTTCAAATGTAAGAAGTTGAATCAATCGGCAATACTTTTGGTTTTCTTTTGTTGTTGAAAAATACCACATTTTTGGAGTACTTAAGTGGCCTGATGGTAGAAAAATGTACAATTAATATTTCTAAAAAAATATGTTTATAAAAAATCATATCAGGTCCACTGCTCTATTTATTGAAAGACTTTTGCCTGGCAAAGACAGCCCCCTTCATTAACTACAGTGAGGGAAAAAAATATTTGATCCCCTGCTGATTTTGTACGTTTGCCCACTGACAAAGAAATGATCAGTCTATAATTTTTAATGGTAGGTTTATTTGAACAGTGAGACACAGAATAACAACAACAAAAATCCAGAAAAACGCATGTCAAAAATGTTATAAATTGATTTGCATTTTAATGAGGGAAATAAGTATTTAACCCCCTCTCAATCAGAAAGATTTCTGGCTCCCAGATGTCTTTTATACAGGTAATGAGCTGAGATTAGGAGCACATTCTTAAAGGGAGTGCTCCTAATCTCAGCTTGTTACCTATATAAAAGACACCTGTCCACAGAAGCAATCAATCAATCAGATTCCAAACTGTCCACCATGGCCAAGACCAAAGAGCTCTCCAAGGATGTCAGGGACAAGATTGTAGACATACACAAGGCTGGAATGGGCTACAAGACCAATGCCGCAGCTTGGTGAGAAGGTGACAACAGTTGGTGCGATTATTCGCAAATGGAAGAAACACAAAAGAACTGTCAATCTCCCTCGGCCTGGGGCTCCATGCAAGATCTCACCTTGTGACCATGAGAACGGTGGGGAATCAGACCAGAACTACACGGGAGGATCTTGTCAATGATCTCAAGGCAGCTGGGACCATAGTCACCAAGAAAACAATTGGTAACACACTACGCCATGAAGGACAGAAATCCTGCAGCGCCCGCAAGGTCCCCCTGCTCAAGAAAGCACATATACATGCCCGTCTGAAGTTTGCCAATGAACATTTGAATGATTCAGAGGACAACTGGGTGAAAGTGTTGCGGTCAGATGAGACCAAAATGGAGCTCTTTGGCATCAACTCAACTCGCCGTGTTTGGAGGAGGAGGAATGCTGCCTATGACCCCAAGAACACCATCCCCACCGTCGAACATGGAGATGGAAACATTATGCTTTGGGGGTGTTTTTCTGCTAAGGGGACAGGACAACTTCACCGCATCAAAGGGACGATGGACGGGGCCATGCACTGTCAAATATTGGGTGAGAACCTCCTTCCCCCAGCCAGGGCATTGAAAATGGGTCGTGGATGGGTATTCCAGCATGACAATGACCCAAAACACACGGCCAAGGCAACAAAGGAGTGGCTCAAGAAGAAGCACATTAAGGTTCTGCAGTGGCCTAGCCAGTCTCCAGACCTTAATCCCATAGAAAATCTGTGGAGGGAGCTGAAGGTTCGAGTTGGCAAACGTCAGCCTCGAAACCTTAATGACTTGGAGAAGATCTGCAAAGAGGAGTGGGACAAAATCCCTCCTGAGATGTGTGCAAACCTGGTGGCCAACTACAAGAAACATCTGACCTCTGTGATTGCCAACAAGGATTTTGCCACCAAGTACTAAGTCATGTTTTGCAGAGGGGTCAAATACTTATTTCCCTCATTAAAATGCAAATCAATTTATAACATTTTTGACATGCATTTTTCTGGATTTTGTTGTTGTTATTCTGTCTCTCACTGTTCAAAAAAACCTACCATTAAAATTATAGACTGATAATTTCTTTGTCAGTGGGCAAACGTACAAAATCAGCAGGGGATCAAATACTTTTTTCCCTCACTGTAGTAATGTACAATTGATAATATAGGGGGCAAAGGACAACACGTGACCGGGACGTGTGGGTAGTGTCTAGAAGCCTCCAGCAGCATCTCGACGCCTTTCGGAATGATGATGACGACGATGACGCTATGTCAGGGCAGCCGTTACGACCGCTTGTTCCTACTCGCGCGCGCGCAACGTGGTTCCGTTTGCTCGATCGCATTGCATCTAATTCGCATCCGCGTTATAGACAAATTTACTCTCTCCCCCCACCCCCCAACACGCTCATCGCGTTGTAGCTGCTACATCGGAGAGTCAACCAAAGCGCCCTCGTAGAGGGGGCTTTCCAAAGCTACGTCGAGTCTGCGACGTTCCCGCAAAGCGATGAGCACGGGCAAAGTGCTCACGGGGCCGTGCCACGACCCTTTGACCTTACCGGCTGATCCGGTGGGCGTGTGTGTGCGGGGAGCGGTAGCGGTCAGCGCGCCGCGCTGCGAACTCGGTGACCCGAGCTTCGATTCCCCGCTCACGACCACCAGCAACCGAGTGATGATTACCTGAATCGCTTCTGGGCCTCCCCTAGGTCGACTCAGCCTCAAACGAGTACCTGGGGTGGTGTGTAGTAAACATCGCCACACAAGGGAGACAAAGGCGGCCGGGCGTGGTGCTGGCCACCCACCCCCTCGTGTGCCAAAGTGCCGGTCTTCATAGGTGCTGCTACTCGATAACGTCACTTGCTCCAACAGTCTGTTAAGGCTACGCGGGTTGATCTTTGTCTTTGTGCATATGTGTCCGACCGCTGTGGCCGAGTGCAGCTCCGCCACTCGTTTCGGAGTCGGTGACGATAAACTCGATGCCGAACACGGCGACCTCGAGCAGCCTGACCTTGTTCTTCGACTGCAGCTGGTTCGCCACCACCAACGGCGACCTCAAGTACTACACGGTCATCATCAAGGAGTCCGTGGGTACGTGGGCAGGAAAGATGATAACTAATGAAGCTATGTTCTATTTTAGCAGGTAACGCCCACCGAGCTTTGTACCTCTTTTCCAGAAGCGGCCTGGCCACAAATGATAGCTCAACGACGTGGCCGATGTCGTCGTCATCACGTGGAAATGTATAGTGGCCAAATTACTCAAAACGCGTCACGTTGATTCTAAATTTGGAGGGAAAAACCCGAGGATCTGGAGACAAATCCGCTCATCTTTGAATCTTGGAACGTGCAAGCGACTTGTGGTTCATCTCACTTAGAGAGGCCTAGTAGCAAGCACCGTTGTTTTTCAAGGCGTCGTTACTCACCGCAGAGAAGCGTAGCCACACGACCGCCGCCACTGTATGGTAGCCGGTGCCAAAACTGTGCCACGTGCCCTGCCCTGGGGGGAGCCTCGGTACCGGTAAAGTTATCGTTATTTCTTTTTTCTTCCTGTTTAGTTTTGATGATGTATGTGTACATGTGTCGTCGGAACGGAATTGGAAGAATGGGAAACGTTTAATATTGATAGGAGCGATGTAAATGGAGGACGTTCTGTATTGCTGCTTGTATATTTTATGGGGCAACCACGGGAAATTTGACAAATCTCAGACCTGCAGGTGTTAAGGTGTTCAAACACCAAACAGATACCTTTTGCATGGCGTCACGTCTGCATTAACCACACGCAGTACTTGTGGCAAAACGTGCAACAAGCATGGCTCTGGTAATGTTTGATGCATTGCCTTGGAAACTGATCGGCCTACACCAAAGATAGCAGCAGCCTTCTTCCCCGCCTTGTCTCTGCACCAGCGTTCGACCAGAGAACATCGCCAAAAGGCAAACAGTAATAACAAACGCAATGCAAGCGTCAGAGCACTCATAGCTCGGGTTGAGCCGGTTACTTTATTGCCAGAAAAGGACTAAAAACTTATTATTTATTTCGGATGCTGGTAAGCAACAAAAAAGAACGGTCCCCTAAGATAAATCTCCACCTCGCCACACCGGATGGCCGACGCGTCCCTTCACTTGCAGAGATGACCGTCGACAAACCCGAAAATAAATGGCCGCTGGACAAGTACTCAGACTACACGAGCGGCAAAACGATGGTGTACCAGGTGGACGACCGCGTCTACCCCACCGAGTGCAAAAGCCAGAGCGCCATCGTGCCGGTCACAGTCGGCACCGGCGCCTCCAACGGCGGCTTCGTCGACGGTGCCCTGAAGCCGAACACGAAGTACAGGTGCGTTCTCAGAGAAAGTTCACCTTGTCGTTATCACAAATACACATCCCTTTGTCGTTGGTGCTCCTTGAGGCCACGCGTGGTGACGGGGCTACTGCGCCATCCGACACTGTTGGTGTCCGTCCGGTTGCTCACCGAGCTGCATTGGCTTCCGGTTGCCGAGCGAAAATATACGGCGGCGTTGTTGTAAGGCTGCCCCGCTCATTGCACTAGGCCATGAAGAAGGCTGTCTCTGGTGTAGGCCAATCGCTTTCAATGCGAAAACAGCAGAACCCCTGTTAACGAGCACCCCCTGTTAACAACTGATCGCTTAACAACGTGCCTCCATAGAGCCCTATGTGTAGTGTATAGTAGTGTAGTGTATAGTAGTTTATAGTAGTGTAGTGTATAGCAGTGTATAGTAGTGTAGAGTATAGTAGTATAGTGTATAGCTGTGTTTTGTATAGTGTAGTTTAGTGCCTTTATACAGTAGAGCCCAATGTGTTCTCTTACCGGCCATTTCCCTGCTAACGATGGGCTGTTGTAATGCATTGATGGAGCTGGTTGTAATTAGTGGCGAAACGTCGTACTCAGATTGTAAATGTTGTGGCTTGGCTCTCCAACACACCGGTGTGACTACCCTTACTAGTTGGCTGTGTCGGGTGGTGGCAGGTTTTAATGACACATTTATATATTTACGTGATCTAACCCCAAAAAAAACCTCTTATGAATTATATTGGTCGCGAAATCCTACATGTTAAAATGTGCGTATAATATTGTTGCTTATCTTTACGTATTAATATCAAGTGTTTAAACTTTTCCTATAGTCGCTTAATGACAAAATCACTTCATGACCGGGTTTTGTGGAAACCAATTGGCGTCATTAAGAGGGGATTCTACTGTAATGTCATAGCATGTTCATTTGCATGTTTCACTAACAGCATATTGCGTGGCGACTGCAGTCTTGATGATGTCTCTGCAATAGGTGTGTGTGTAGGGGTCTATTTGGGCGTTCAAACATCTTAACACCTTTTTCTTGGTTCTTTCGGTAAAGTCACGTAGAAGGGAAATAATAAAATAAAAAACGTAATAAAATAAAATTATCACGACGTTTCGGCCACAACACAAGCAGCCGTCCTCAGGTGAAGAAACAGAACTGTCGGAAAGACAGCGCTCTAATGAGCGCTGTTTTATTTTTATTATTTTATTATTTCCCTTCTACGTGACTTTACCGAAAGAACCACGAAGATGAATCCCTGCAGTCACGAAAGCTTTAAATCGAAATCTTAACACCTTTTATCACCAGGAAAGGGGTTGAAGCCCATACTTGTCAACTCCTCATCAGTACCCTACCATATTACAGACAAATTCAGACCTTATTGCTCACCCCGTACCCCTTATAAATCTCAACGTTCATCCGATACACTACACTATACACTATTATACACGACACTATACACTGTTATACACGACACTGTACACTACTACACTACACTATACACTACACTACTACACACCTGTCAACCCCTTATCAGTACCCTACCTTATTACAGACCAATTAAGACCTCATTGGTCACCCCGTGCCCCTTATAAATCGCAACGTTCATCCTACACAGCCCCATCACAAGGGAGAAACGCAAACAAATAGACATTAAAAAAAAAGTGTTTGCTCGTATTGAAACGGCTCTACGCCATATAGATCTGAAAACTCAATTTTCCTTGTACAAGAATACGGGGTGAACCGTGTGGGTTTGACATGGTGTGTTGAAGCCCCTTCTTATATTTTTTTATTCACTGTAACGCAATCAGAATATGAACGCGACAGCGCAGCAGCGTGGGCCAATCAGACGCCCTGACGTGCGGTGTGAATTTCTCAATTGAAACCCTCCGTGGCGCCGTGCTGTCCTGCTTTTCCGTGCGACCTCCCCCTCCCGAACCCCTCCATCCTTTCTGGTGGCACAGGGTCAGTTTCCGTGCATACACGTACATCCCGGGCGCACGCTCCGTCCGCGCTGGGAGCAAAGCCCTCTTCAGGGACACTTTATTCTCTCTGCCATTCTTCACCTTGGTCGGTGAGTACTATATATATTTTTTTTTAACCAGGTAAGGCTCACTGAGAGCTATGTAACCCTTTTTCAGAAGCGACCTGGCTATCGTCAACGTGGCTTATAGTCATCGATATCATCGTGTGGACATTTGTAGCAGCAGCCAAACACTTGGAATGCGTGACGTCGATTCTAAATGTGGGGGGCAGAAACCGGAGGACTCGGAGGAGAATCCACGCGACCACAGTGAGAACACACAACCTCTGAAGTTATGTACGTTGAACTTCTTTCTCACCGTACGTAGCCAACCGTGCTAATCGGAGGTGTGGGAGAAGGACAACAAACTAAACACTAAAAAACAGTTCAAATAAAGTGAGTTCGTCAATCTAGATGATGATTTAAAAGTCCGCGGCTTCAGTGGTTTCCTAATATTGGAAGAAAGAGCGTTCCAGATGGCCCCAGGCGTCAGGGTCCGGATCAAACCCACGACCTCCTGCATACCAGGCGAGGTAGTTAACATGTCGGGAGATGTTACGCTGCGACCCACCCCATGGAGCATTGCCTCTGGCCAGCTTCCGATTGCTGAACGAATATATGATAAGGTCGCACTCATTACACACACAGAGTGCTCGCCAAAAATGAACGGCAATCACTCGCTGATCTCGTTGAGGAGCGGATGTCATCCTCGCAGCAGCAGCAGCTTCTGGCTCAGCCGCCGAACAAAGACGGTGGTCACTGCATCGCGCAGCGCTGTCAGATTCGCTTCTGCGGCCGTCTGGAACGCTTTTTCCTTCCGATATTAGGAAGCCACCGGAGCTGTGCGCTTTTAAATCATCATCTAGATTGACGAACTCATTTATTTTGAACTGCTTGTTGTTGTTCTTGTTGTCCTTTAGTTTGTTGTCCTTCCCCCCGCATCTCCGATTCACGCGGTTGGCCTGGTAGGGTGTAAAAGAACTTCAACATACACACGTAGACACGGCGCAGCGCATACGGACCCCAGCGACCCGAGTTCGAGTCCCACTCGCGACCAGCAACAGTGGCGAACATTCGAATCGGCCCTGGGCCCTCCCCTAGGACGACTCGGCTATAAATGAGTGCCCTGGTGCGGTGCGCAGTAAACATCGCCACTGTCCGCGGTTGATAACGCTGCGTGGGTGACGATGACGAAGATCATGACACACGTGGTATTAACCAGGGCAGCCGCGGTGCTCGAACCGCGAATTTCTGCAAGAGAGAGCGGAAGAATGCTACCGCTCAGCTGTTGTCCCCCCGCTCTGGGCAATCCCTTTTGTCCCCCCCCTGCCCCCCAATTCCATAGTCTTCCAAGGCACCGGCGCGGTGGCAGGCGGAGTGATTGGAGGGTTGCTGGCCGGAGCGGCGTTAGCTGCTGGGGGCTTCTTCCTCTACAAGAAGCGGAACCAGCTGTACGTGTGGGTGGTGGGGGGGGGGGGGGACGCAACACACACGCACACACACGCACACACAAAGACACGGATCTCTCCCCCGTGGCCTTAGCGGGCTGCGGGGACAAGTGCCGTTCGTGGTAGTGAGTAACAGCGGCACCCAAGAAGGCCGGCAAAGACGCACGGGGCGGGTGGGTGGCCAGCACCACGTCCCCGGTCGCCTTTGTCTCCCCGGTGGCGATGTTCACTACACACTGCACCGGGTTCTCATTTGAGGTTGAGTCGGCCTAGGGGAGGGAGGCCCAGAACCGGTTCAGGTAATCGGCGCCCGCGTTAGCCGTGAGCGGGATTCGAACTCTGGTCGACTGATACACAGCACAGTGCACTAACCGATACACTATCAGGGAATGCACACAAAGACATACGCACACATTTTACACTTGCATGCACAGACATGCACGCACAACACCAACAACAACAACGTAAGTGGCGGTAACATCACCACAGCGCTTGTGCCAGGCTAGGTGCTCTTTGAGGTCGTCACGTGAAGTGTGAAAGGCTCACCGCTGGCAGGAGGAAAGTTCAGGTATTATGGGCTGACTGCTGTGCCAGGCTGGGTGCAGGAGAGTCACGGGACAGACCCAGCAGGTGCCATGGGTTGACTGCTGTGCCAGGCTGGGTGTAGGAGGTCACGGGACAGATCCAGCAGGTGCCATGGGTTGACTGCTGTGCCAGGCTAGGTGCAGGAGGTCACGGGACAGATCCATTAGGTGCCATGGGTTGACTGCTGTGCCAGGCTGAGTGCAGGAGGTCACGGGACCTATCCAGGTGTCATGGGTTGACTGCTGTGTCAGGCTAGGTGCAGGAGGTCACAGGACAGACCCAGCAGGTGCCATGGGTTGACTGACGGAGATGGCTGGCAGACGCACCACCACCTGTGCCCCGCCCCCACCCCCGCCCACGACTGCTAAGTCGCTGGACTCCCATCGTCGATTTTGAAGGAGACGCTAACGCTGTCGCGGGGTCTTCGTCTCTCTCTCTCTTTGCAGGCCGTTCGGCAAGCAGACGGGATCAAGCAGGTAAATGATGTCCCCCGCCCCCCACCCACCCGCCACTGCAACACCCAGCCAATCCCCGTGCTCTTCGATTAGCACAGTTGGCTGCGTACGGCGCGGAAAGAAGGTCAACGTGGGCGCCGACGCTTTGGAAGCGACCGCGTTTCCCTCCCCTGACATTGTGAATCTGCTGTCCGAAAAAAAAAGTATTCCGAAGCAGAGGGATTCGCGCTGGATTGCAACCACACTGGCGAATGTGATTGGCAACTTTTGATCCTCACCCGCGTCATGTGGATCGTTCAATGTTCATGTGCAACTTGTCGTGTTTGTCTTATTGGGCGTCTGTGAGAAAAAAGAGAGCTTTACAGCTCATCGGATTCCTCAAGTCTAGATTCAGCATTACGCTTTTTTAATTTGTATTCTTTAAAAAAAAATATGTTGGCGTATTTTTTTTATTTTTCTAATATTTTTATATCTTTCCCCATGATAGTCATCACGATTGGCGCGAGTGGCGTCAAATCACGGCGCAAATCCATTGGAATATTTCAGTGAGCGTTCCGCATTGTAACGACGGTGAAGTATTCCACGTTGTAACAACGGTGAAGCATTCCGCATTGTAACAACGGTGAAGCATTCCACATTGTGACGATGGTGAAGTGTTCTGCATTGTAATGACGGTAAAGCATTCCGCGTTGTGACGATGGTGAAGCATTCCACGTTGTAACAATGGTGAAGCGTTCCGCGTTGTAACAACGGTGAAGCATTCCGCGTTGTAACGTCGGTGAAGCGTTCCGCGTTGTAATGACGTTGAAGCATTCCACGTTGTAACAACGTTGAAGCATTCCGCGTTGTGACGATGGTGAAGCATTCCACGTTGTAACAACGGTGAAGCATTCCGCGTTGTAACAACGTTGAAGCATTCCGCGTTGCAACGATGGTGAAGCGTTCTGCATTGTAACAACGGTGAAGCATTCTGCATTGTAACAACGTTGAAGCATTCCGCGTTGTAACAACGGTGAAGCATTCCGCGTTGTAACAACGGTGAAGCATTCCGCGTTGTAACGATGGTGAAGCGTTCTGCATTGTAACAACGGTGAAGCATTCTGCATTGTAACAACGTTGAAGCATTCCGCGTTGTAACAATGGTGAATTGTTCTGCGTTGTAACGACGGTGAAGCGTTCCGCGTTGTAACGATGGTGAAGCGTTCTGCATTGTAACAACGGTGAAGCATTCCACGTTGTAACAACGGTGAAGCGTTCTGCATTGTAACAACGTTGAAGCATTCCACGTTGTTACAATGGTGACGCATTCTGCATTGTAAAAATGGTGAAGTGTTCCGCGTTGTAACAACGGTGAAGCATTCTGGATTGTAACAATGGTGAAGTGTTCCGCGTTGTAACAACGGTGAAGCATTCTGCACTCTAACAACATTGAAGCATTCTGCGTTGTAGCGATGGTGAAGCATTCTGCATTGTAACAATGGTGAAATGTTCCGCGTTGTAACAATGCTGAAGCGTTCCGCGTTGTAACGATGGTGAAGTGTTCTGCATTGTAACAACAGTGAAGTGTTCCACATTGTAACAACGCTGAAGCGTTCCGTGTTGTAACAACGCTGAAGCGTTCCACGTTGTAACAATGGTGAATTGTTCTGCGTTGTAACGACAGTGAAGCATTCTGCGTTGTAACAATGCTGAAGCGTTCCGCGTTGTAACATTGGTGAAATGTTCTGCGTTGCAACAATGTTGAAGCGCTACGTGTTGTAACAATGGTGAAGCGTTCTGCGTTGTAACAATGGTGAAGCGTTCCACGTTGTAACGACGGTGAAGCATTCCGCGTTGTAACAATGGTGAAATGTTCCGCGTATTAACAATGGTGAAGCATTCCACGTTGTAACAACGGTGAAGCGTTCCGCGTTGTAACAATGCTGAAGCATTCCGCGTTGTAACAATGGTGAAATGTTCCGCGTTGTAACAATGGTGAAGTGTTCCGCGTTGTAACAATGGTGAAGCGTTCCGCGTTGTAACGACGGTGAAGCGTTCTGCGTTGTAACTACGGTGAAGCATTCTGCGTTGCAACTACGGTGAAGCGTCATTACAAGGGAGAAACACAAACAAGTAGACACAAATTATTTTGCCCGTATTGAAACGACTTTAATACGGGGTAAGACCGTATGGGTTTAGACGGATATATTGCGATGCCACCGTTAGCCGGGGGACCGCTCTCTTTTGCTTATGCACGTACATATATTGATACTTTCCAAATGCGCTCTGCGGCTGTGCCTATCCCACCACCCGTTCCCAACCGTTGCATTGAATTTCGCCGCGCGCACGCGCAAGCTTGCAAAACGTGGCCTCTTTGTTTCACTCGTGCTTGTCTTAATCCTACCCCGCATTTGCCGCGGCCACCACCGAACTTCCTTCTGTCCGAGTGTAACGCCGCCACCACCGCCACTGCCTCCGCTGCCTCCCCCTCTGCCTCCCTCTCTGCCTCCCCCTCTGCCTTGTATCGTCGCAGGAGTGGAAGGTCGTCATTGCGGACCAGCAGGTACCAACCGGCGCCCTATAATCCCAGGTGAGACCTCCACAGCCTTGTCACGAGGCACAAAGACAAAGAATACCCCCCCCGCTTCCCCCTGGAGTAGCCTTCACGGGACCGTTGGGGCAAGCGCGTGGCAGCACCTACGAAGGCCGGCGCTGTGGCACGCGAGGGGGTTGGTGGGTGGCTGGCAACGCGCCCGCCCGGCCTCCTTTGTCTCCGCCAGCGGCGATATTTACTACACATCACACTGGGTACTCACTTGAGGCTGAGTCGACCTAGAGGGGAGGCCCAGGACCGGTTCCGATGATCGTCGCCGGTGTTGGGCCGCGAGCGGGAAATAGGGCTCGGGTCACCGGGGTCGTAGCGCAGCATAGCGCTAACCGCGACGCAGCCTGCCAAACACGTGCGCACGCACGCACAACACACCGTGCACGAATGTAAGCAGGCAAAATGAATGAAAGGCGAAAGGAAGGGGGAAAAGATAACGGCAATTCTCGAGCGCGCCGCACAATCCGCTGCAAGAGCGGTGGCTGCTGTACGGGGCAGAGATCGTCTGTGACCGCGCTGGCAGCTTGGAGACCCAGCGATCGGCCATGGCCTTCCATCTGTTTTGCCCGACGGATTCTGCCTCCTTTGAGCTTTTTGGCATTGCAACTCTCGATTGCGTTCCAAGAATAAAATAAGTAATATTTAAAGATACTCTTTTTAACAAAAAACATGCTTTAATGAAATGTCCCGTACTCGTAATGGCAAAACTCCACGACTCCAGGAAGTGGCCCCCGAAGCTTGCCACAACTTAAGGGGACCGTGGTGATTTACAGGCAACGTCAGTTGACCATGGACAATTAGGCCCCAGCTGAAACATAACATGCAAAAAAGAATGTTTAAAAATGTTATATTTTTTTATTTTAATGATAGAATATAGTATTGCCATCAGTATGACACAAGTATACCAAGTTTGCAGTCGATACCACGTTGGGAAGTGGGTTAACATTGAGTTACAAGATTTGAGGATACGACAACGACGACAACAACAGACAGAGTGAGTTAAATAAAAGCGTGCAACAAGTAACGCAACAAGCTAAGAAGTCGCCAAAGTGCGAGCCCTCCCCTAGGTTCAACGCGGAGCGCGGATTTCGTCTCGGCGTCCTCCTCCGATTTTTCCCCTCCGCGTTTAGAATCGACTTCTCTGCGCATATTAGAGCATTTGGCTGCTGCTGCTGCAAATGTCCACGTGACGATGGTGATGATGATATCGGCCATTTTGTTAAAGCTGTCATGACGTGTGGCCAGGTCGCTTCTGAATAGGAGCTATGAAGCTCAGTGGGTCTTACCTGGTAAAAAAAAAAGGATAGAGTATATTAGTCTGGGTGGGTGGGTGAGAGACTGTGTGAGTGAGTGATTTGGTGTTGTGAGTGAGTGGATGGGTGATTGGGTGTTCATATTCTTGGTTCTTTCGGTAAAGTCACGTAGAAGGGAAACAAGAAAATAATAAAAAATATGTGTGAACACCTGATGATGATTGCTTGTGTTGTAGTCGAACGTCGTGATAATTTTATTGTTTTATAAATATATATTTTTATTTTATTGTTTCCCTTCTACGAGACTTTACCGAAAGAACGAAGAATATGAATCCCTGCAGTCACGAAAGCTTTAAATCAAAATTTGATTGGGTGTGTGAGTGACTGGATGAGTGAGTGGATGGGTGATTGGGTGAGTGAGTGCATGGGTGAGTGAGTGTGTGAGAGAATGTGTCAGTTGATGGGTGAGTAAGAGAGTGTGTGAGTGCGAGTGAGTGGGTGAGAGTGAGTGAGTGGTTGGGTGATTGGCTGAGTGAGTGAGTTGATGGGTGTGCGGTTGAGAGAATGGGTGAGTGAATGACTGAGTGGATGACTGAGTGAGTGAGGTGCTCACGAACGGCACTTGCTCCTCCGATGGTGTATTAAGGGTTCCACAAGAGAGTGTGGAGTAGTGATATTTATCTTTTGTCACAGCCCTGTGTTCGCCACTCAGTTTGAGCCTCACGTGATGAAGCTGAGCCAAGATACCAACTACTTATACTCCTTGGAATTCGAGGTGGGTAGTTCGTTACGCGCGCGGAGGAACCGCAGACACGGCCGTCCACACTGTGTTCAGCCGCCACACTGCAGGTCGCAACAACACACACACTCACCCGCCAGCCACTCACCACACTGCAGGTTACAACAACACACACACTCACCCGATCAGCCACTCACCACACTGCAGGTCGCAACAACACACACACTCACCCGCCAGCCACTCACCACACTGCAGGTCACAACAACACACACACTCACCCGCTCAGCCACTCACCACACTGCAGGTGACAACAGCACACACAGTCACCTGTTCAGCCACTCACCACACTGCAGGTCACAACAACACACACACACTCACCCGCTCAGCCACTCACCACACTGCAGGTCACAGCAATACACACACTCACCCGCTCAGCCACTCACCACACTGCAGGTCACAGCAACACACACACTCACCCGCTCAGCCACTCACCACACTGCAGGTGACAACAGCACACACAGTCACCTGCTCAGCCACTCACCACACTGCAGGTCACAACAACACACACACACTCACCCGCTCAGCCACTCACCACACTGCAGGTCACAGCAATACACACACTCACCCGCTCAGCCACTCACCACACTGCAGGTCACAGCAACACACACACTCACCCGCTCAGCCACTCACCACACTGCAGGTTACAACAACACACACACCCGATCAGCCACTCACCACACTGCAGGTCACAACAACACACACACTCATCCGCTCAGCCACTCACCACACTGCAGGTCACAACAACACACACACTCATCCGCTCAGCCACTCACCACACTGCAGGTCACAACAACACACACACTCACCCGATCAGCCACTCACCACACTGCAGGTTACAACAACACACACACTCACCCGATCAGCCACTCACCACACTGCAGGTCACAACAACACACACACTCACCCGCCAGCCACTCACCACACTGCAGGTTACAACAACACACACACCCGATCAGCCACTCACCACACTGCAGATCACAACAACACACACACTCACCCGATCAGCCACTCACCACACTGCAGGTCACAACAACACACACACTCACCCGCTCAGCCACTCACCACACTGCAGGTCACAACACACACACTCACCCGCTCAGCCACTCACCACACTGCAGGTCACAACAACACACACACTCACCCGCTCAGCCACTCACCACACTGCAGGTCACAACACACACACTCACCCGCTCAGCCACTCACCACACTGCAGGTCACAACAACACACACACTCACCCGCTCAGCCACTCACCACACTGCAGGTGACAACAGCACACACAGTCACCTGTTCAGCCACTCACCACACTGCAGGTCACAACAACACACACACACTCACCCGCTCAGCCACTCACCACACTGCAGGTCACAGCAATACACACACTCACCCGCTCAGCCACTCACCACACTGCAGGTCACAGCAACACACACACTCACCCGCTCAGCCACTCACCACACTGCAGGTGACAACAGCACACACAGTCACCTGCTCAGCCACTCACCACACTGCAGGTCACAACAACACACACACACTCACCCGCTCAGCCACTCACCCCACTGCAGGTCAGAACAACACACTCACTCACCCACTCACCACACTGCAGGTCACAACAACACACACACTCATCCGCTCAGCCACTCGCCACGCTGCAGGTCACAACAACACACACACTCACCCGCTCAGCCAGTAACCCCACTGGAGGTCACAACAACACACACACTCACCCGCACAGCCACTCACCACACTGCAGTTCACAACGCACTCACTCACTCAGCCACTCACCACACTGCAGGTCACAACAACACACACACTCACCTGCTCGGCCACTCACCACACTGCAGGTCAAAACAACACACACCCCCGCTCAGCCACTCACCACACTTCAGGTCACAACAGCACACACACTCAGCCACTCACCCCACTGCAGGTCGCAACAACACACACACTCACCCGCTCAGCCACTCACCACACTGCAGGTCATAACAACACACACACTCAGCCACTCACCCCACTGCAGGTCGCAACAACACATATGTAGTGCCGTGAATTTACTCGGACGACAACCGCCTTTCTTCCACCGTCACTTTTATTTCCATCGTTCCGCACACACACACACACTTTATAATTTCACACACACACACTTTATAATTTCACACACACACTATATAATTTCTCCTCTTCGCGCTACGCCAACTCGGACACTCCGATTCACCTCAGCACCGTCCGCTCATACTCCTTCCACACACAGTGGTTCTCTCTCTATCTCCTCACACACAGTGCCTCCTCTATCTCCGCACACACAGTGACTTGTCTATTCACACACAGTGACTCTAGCTATCTCCGCACACACAGTGACTTGTCTATTCACACACAGTGACTCTAGCTATCTCAGCACACACAGTGACTCTATCTGTAACTCTCCCTGCACCTATCTCCCCTCGTAACTACCTCTCTGCTAACGCTAACTCTCCCTATCGCTATTTACTGTCCTTTGGGTTCGGCTCTCAATCTATTCTTCCCTAACATTTGCCGGCTCTCCTCTTCGCATCTCTCCACCTCTCGCCAACAACTGCCCAACAACAACTCAACTCCCCGTTCAAATCACCTAGCGTTTTATCCCCTTTCCAATCAGCCTTAATTAATTGCCACGTGGCTCGCTGGCATTTTCCCGCCAGCTCGCACCTGTCCAACGGTCCAGACTTCGCGACGCCGCCATTTAACGCTAACAGCCTCTCGACCAATCACAGGCCTCGTGCCATGACTCCTTTAATTACGTTGGTTTGTTTACGCCACCCGTGACTCCAGCACCTGCTCGACCTTATGTGACCCACTCTGCTTGTATGTCTGTATGTACTGTATGTGGCCAATTTACCCATGCGTATCTTTTACTCCACTACACATACACTCACCCGCTCAGCCACTCACCACACTGCAGGTCACAACGCACTCAGCCACTCAGCCACACTGCAGGTCACAACAACACACTCACTCACTCAGCCACTCAGCCACACTGCAGGTCACAACAACACACTCACTCAGCCACTCACCACACTGCAGGTCACAACAACACACACACTCACCCTCTCAGCCACTCACCCCACTGCAGGTCACAACAACACACTCACTCACCCACTCACCACACTGCAGGTCACAACAACTCACTCAGCCACTCACCACACTGCAGGTCACAACAACACACACACTCACCCGCTCAGCCACTCACCACACTGCAGGTCACAACAACACACACACTCACTCACTCACCCACTCACCACACTGCAGGTCACAACAACACACACACTCACCCGCGCAGCCACTTACCACACTGCAGGTCACAACACACACACTCACCTGCTCAGCCACTCACCACACTGCAGGTCACAACAACACACACACTCACCTGCTCAGCCACTCACCACACTGCAGGTCACAACAACACACACACTCACCCGCCAGCCACTCACCACACTGCAGGTCACAGCAACTCACTCACTCAGCCACTCACCACACCGCAGGTCACAACAACATACACACTCACCTACTCAGCCATTCGCCACACTGCAGGTCACAGCAACTCACTCACTCACCCACTCACCACACTGCAGGTCACAACAACTCACTCACTAACTCAGCCACTCACCACACTGCAGGCCACGACAACACTCATCCGCTCATCCACTTACTAACCCGCTCAGCCACCCACCACACCGCAGGGCACGACATTTGCATCTCTCCGCTTCTTAGCTCCCGTCGCTCCGCTTTGGAATACCCTCCCCTCGTCGCCACTCTTCCCAAATCCTTTTGCTCACCCTTGCCCAAATGAAGAAACACATTTAAAGTTGTTAATCGATCACGACTTGGCGCATCGGTAGAGCGCGCAGCAGCAGCAGCAGCGGCATCGCCCCCTGCGACTGCAAACGCTTGGCAGGGGCCTCCTAAAAAAGAGTCTCGAGACTCCGGCGAGGCTCTCCTGGCTTCATGAAAAAGCAGAATAAGGGGCGCTGCGGTGGCTAGGAGATGTTATCTGCCTCGCCTTGTATGCGGGAGGTTGGGGGTTCGATCCCGACCCTGACGATACCTGCTGTATATTTGGAATTTGCGTCTCTCTTTCTCTCTCATCATCACCACGGTGGCTAAGAGATGTTAACTACGTCGCCTGGTATGCGGGAGGTCGTGAGTTTGATCCTGACCCTGACGCCTGCTGTATATGCGAAGTTTGCGTCTCTCTCCCTGTGGGTCGCGTGGATTTTTCTCCCTGGCCCCTCTTGTTTTCCCCTCCACATTTAGAATCGACATCACGCGTATGAGAGTGTATTTGGCTGCCGCTATACAGTCACGTAGGTGAAAATAGAACCAAAGAGTATGGATCCTAGCAGTCACGAAAGCTTTAAATCTAGAATTGCCGCTATACACTTGCACGTATTGATGAGCCACTATCATCGAGCTATCATTTGTCATAGCCAGGTCGCTTCTGAAAAAGCACTACTAATTAGCCACAGTGAGGCCTTACCTGGTAACGATGAACAACAACGATCATTCGGTTTTAAATAGTCTTAGTTGAACGGTAATAATAATGACAGCCGGTTGACGTGGTTCGGGCATCTGGTAAGGATGCCCCCCGGTAGACTCCGCCTGGAACTCTAGCGGGCAGCAGCAGCAGCGTCCCACTGGGCGACGATCCCCGGGCCGGCCCAGAACATGCTGGCGGGGGACTGTGTCACTCGGCTAGCCTGGGAACGCCTGGGAATTCCCCAGGTAGAGCTGGAGTCTGTGTATAGTAGCGCACTGTAGAGTGTATAGCAGTGTAGTGTATATTATAGTGTATAGTAGCGTATAGTAGTGTAGTGTATAGTAGTGTATCGTAATGTAGAGCTGGCGTCTGTCGCCAGGGAAAGGGAGGTGTGGAGCACCACTACTCAACACGCTGCTGTAGTGGAGCATAGTGTATAGTGTAGTGTAGTGGTGCTGTAGTATATAGTGTAGTGTATAGTGTAGTAGTGTATAGTAGTGTATAGTGTCGTAGTGTATAGTGTAGCGTATAGTAGTTTATAGTAGTCTACAGTAGTGTAGTGTATAGTAATGTAGAGCTGGATTCTGTTGCCAGGGAAAGGGAGGTGTGGAGCGCCACTACTCAACACGCTTCCGGCGTGACCCTAGCGGGACAAGCGGACTGAGAAACAAATGAACGAATGGACGATAACAAAAGCACAATGCACGTCTCCCACAGTACCTGAAGGAGAAAGGAAAAAATCAGTCGAAGGACATGGCCCAATTGCCGCAGAACGCTCGCAAGAACCGCTACTCCAACATCTTGCCATGTGAGTCTTCCTTGCGCACTCCCCGTCCGCTTACCGCATCGTCATCGCGCGGCTCTCGAACACTCCTCGCGTCCGATGATGGGAAGCCACTGGTGAGATTTTTTTACAGTGCACTTTGGAATCATCGTCTATGGTTGACAAACTCATTCTCGTTGCGGCTGCTTCTTGTGTGTGTTAGTTTGGTTGGCTACGTACAGCGCGAAAGAACAGTTTTAAATTGAGATGATTTAAAAGGTGCATAGCTCCCAGAGGCTTCTTGATATCGGAAGGACGAGGCCCGCAGAGTTCCAGAGACTCATACTGAACCATAGAGACCCACGTAAACCCACAGAGACTAATATAGACACCTTAGTCATTTGTATCTATGTATGTTAAACCTCCCTCCCCTCCCTCCCTCCCTCCCCTCCCTCCCCCAGACGATCACAACCTCGTTCCACTCAACAAGAGTGGGGGATCCAACTACATCAACGCAAGTTTCATCTCCGTGAGTCAGCAGTCCGATCGGTGTCCACTCGACCCCTACCGGGTTGAGGAGGTTACAAACTTCACTGGAATGCGATGGAAATGGATGAATCATCATCATCAGCGGCAGTGCTCTATTATAAGTGTAGGGCGCCATAGACTCATACAAAGACCCAACAGACCTACACGGAGACCTGCTGATACTGGTAATGGTGGTTATGAGGTTATGGCGCTGTAATGATGCTGCTTCAGTACTTCCTGAAGTGACACTGATGGTTTGATGATGATGATGATGGTGACGATGATGATGACGTCGATGGTGATGAGGATGATAGGATGTTGATCATAATTTTTTTCTGACTCTTAAAGACATTTGTCATTGATGATGATGATGATGACGTTGATGGTCAATCACAATAGTGATATAGCAATAGTGATGGCAACAATACTCGTGACAATGATGATGATGACGATGACAATGACCTCGGCTATGACCACGATGATGATCATGATGGCAATGAAAGTACTGATGATGATGACGATGGCCATGATGACGATGGCAGTGACAGTACTGATGATGACTATGACCGTGATGACGATGACAATAGCGACAATGATCACCATGACGACGATGACAACGACAGCACCGACGATGACGACCACCACGATGATCGCAGTGACGACGCCGACGATGGCGCACCTTGACCCCACGTCCGATTCTCCACGCAGGGCTGCAGCCGCACGCGTGAGTACATCAACATACAGTGCTCCAAGGAGGACACGGTGGCTGACCTCTGGCAAATGATGATGACCATGATGATGATGACCATGATGATGATGATGACCATGATCATGATGATGATCATGATGATGATCATGATCATGATCATCATGACTATGACCATAACCATGATGGCAGTGATAATGATGACCATGATGACGATGACTATGACCATGATGATGATGACCATGATGATGATGAGCATGATGATGATCATGAAGATGACAGAACTGATGATGACGATGACCATGGTGACGATGATCATCTTCTGCTCAGGGCTACAGCCGCACGCGCGAGTACATCGCCACGCAGGGCCCCAAGGAGGAAACGGTGGCCGACTTCTGGCAAATGGTGTGGGAGCAGAACGTGTACACCATCGTCATGCTCACCGGCGTCATTGAAGGAGGACGGGTGAGAGAGCGAGAGAGAGAGAGCGAGAGAGCGTGCAAGAGAGAAAGAGCGTGAGAGAGATCTCGAGAGAGAGAGAGTGAGCAAGAGAGAGAGAGCGTGAGAGAGATCTCGAGAGAGAGAGCGTGAGAGAGAGTGAGAGAGAGCAAGAGAGAGACTGTGCGAGAGAGAGTGAGAGAGAGATAGGGCGAGCAAGAGAGAGAGAGTGAACAAGAGAGAGAGAGAGTGAGCAAGAGAGAGAGAGTGTGAGAGAGCGAGAGAGACCTTTTGACTTTCTAAATCACTTTGATTGCCAAAGCACTGGAGCCATTTGCGAGTCAAAGTCACATCGACCACACCGTCACGTCGCAAAACCACGACCCGCGCGGAACACAATCTACGCGTCGCCGCCGCCACGCTCGTTAGAACGCGAAATGCAAAACGCCGTTCACATGGGTGTAGAGGGCTTGACCGGCCCCCCCCTCACCCACCCCCCGCACTGCCGCCATTTGAAGAACCACGGGCGCGCGTCGCCCGCAATCAGAGTTGCGCGCTTTGAGCACGTTGCCCGAACATTGTCGCCGCACAGCAGCCGTCGGTGTCGCCCTGCAGCTGAGAAGAGTGCGAGCACGACGCTCGATGCTGCTGGGGGGGGGAGGGGGGGCGGCTGCTACTATTTGCGAGCGCCTGTTTAGGCTCACCTTGTCGGTGTCAGAGGTTACAGGCGAATGGACCGCCAACAGCCGAGAATCTCAGGGTTTCAGGGAGCTCGTGATCAATAAATGGTTTCTCTCGTGTGGTGAGCCAGAGTCTCAGCCGGGTCACCAGTGACTTGCGCGGAAAGCTGTAGGTTCACAGACCTGCACAGAGACCCATAGACATGCGTAGTGACCCACGGACTTGGATAGGGCCCTATAGACATACGGAGAGACCGATAGACATACATAGTGACCCACAGACTTCGATAGGGCCCCATAGACATACAGAAAGACCCATAGACTTACATAGACTGATTGGTGATTAAATTGGTTTCTCATGCGTAGTGAGTTGAGGGTCTCAGCATGGTCACCAGTGACTCACATGGAGACCCAAAGACTCACATGGAGACCCATAGACTCACATGGAGATCAATAGACTCACACGGAGATCTGTAAACTCACACGGAGACCTGTAACACTCACACAGAGACCCATAGAATCATACAGAGACCTATAGACTCACATGGAAACCCACAGCCTCACGCTGAGACCCACAGACTCACACGAAGACCCACAGACTCACACGGAGACCCGTAGACTCACACGGAGACCCGTAGATTAACACAGAGACCCGTAGACTCACAGGGAGACCTGTAGACTCACACGGAGACCCGTAAACTCACAGGGAGACCCTCAAACTCACGCGGAGACCCATAGCATCATACAGAGACCTATAGACTCACATGGAAACCCACAGCCTCACGCCGAGACTCACAGACTCACACGAAGACCCATAGACTCACACGGAGACCTGTAGACTCACACGCAGACGCGTAGACTTATACGGAGACCCGTAGACTCACACGGGGACCCGTAGACTCACGCGGAGATGCACAGACTCACATGAAGACCCGTAGACTAACACGGAGACCTGTAAACTCACAGGGAGACCCTCAAACTCACGCGGAGACCCACAGACTCACAAAGTCACCATTGACGGCAAAGTACAATGGTGACATCAAATTTTCTTTGCTCCGCGCACCTCTCTACACCCCCCGCCTACCCCCCAACCCCCACATTCCACACGGCAGGAGAAATGCGCCAAGTACTGGGAGGACGACATGGAGCCCCATTTCCAGGGTGACCTAGTGCTGCGGAAGGTGTCCGAGACCGTTCTGGACGACTGGACAATACGCAACCTCCAGATCTACACGGTGTGCAGTGCAATCGCACACGCACTCAGCAACACGCGCACACACACACACACCGGAGTACACAAGCAACTGTGGTACACACGTACACAAAGACAAAGATCCCCAATGTAGCCTTAACAGACTGCTGGGGTAAGTGCTGTTAGCGAGCACCTATGGAGGCCAGCATGGCACACGAGGGGGTGGGTGGCCAGCACCACGCCCGGCCGCCTTTGTCTCCCTAGTAGCGGCTTTTTTACGCACTGCACCAGGTATTGATTTGAGGCTCAGTCGACCTCAGGGGGAAGCCCCAGGAACGGCTCAGATAATCGTCACTGATGTTGGCCGTGAGTGGGAATTGAACTCGGGTCACCAGGTTAGTAGCGCAGGGTAGCGCTGACTGCTGCACCACCGCTCCCCACACGCATGCACTGGGGTACACACACACATAATTAACACGTATGCACGCTGAACTTCGTTTGCATCGCACGTAACCACCCGCGTTAATCGGAGGCGGTGGTCACTGTCGCATCGCACGCAAGAGACCTAACGCCCTGGCCGTGACCGGTCGCGCGACTGCGCGACCGCTCCGTTTCCCCGCCGCGCAGAAAGACGCAGAGACGATGGAGGAGGTGCGCGACATCCGGCAGTTCCACTTCACGGCGTGGCGCGACCACGGCGTGCCCCGCGATCCGCACATCGTGCTCAAGTTCCTGGAGGTTGTGCGTTCGCACGCCAACCAGTCGCCCCAGAACAGCCTCACGCTCGTGCACTGCAGGTAACGTCGCGCGCAGTCACGGCTGTGGTGGTGGTGGCACGGTGACGGTAGTGGCACGGTGGCGGTAGTGTCACGGTAGCAGGGTGCCGGTGGTGGAGGGGGTGGCAGCGGTGTCAACGTTGGCACGGTCGCAGGGTGGCGGCGGTGGCACGGTTGCATGGTGGCTCTAAAGAAACTGAGACTAGTCTCTCAAGAAACTGAGACTAAGCTCTAAAGAAACTGAGACTTTGTTCTAAAGAAACTGAGACTAGGCTCTATGGAAAATGAGACTAGGCACTAAAGACACTGAGACTAGGCTCTAAAGACACTGTGACTAGGCTCTAAAGACACTGAGAATAGTCTCTAAAGAAACTGAGACTACGCTCTAAAGAAACTGAGACTAGGGTCTATAGACACTGAGACTAGGCTCTAAAGACACTGAGACTAGGCTTTAAAGAAACTGAGACTAGGGTCTAAAGAAACTGAGAAGAGGCTCTAAAGACACTGAGACTAGGCTCTAAAGAAACTGAGACTAGGCTCTAAAGAAACTGAGATGAGGCTCTAAAGAAACTCAGACGAGGCTCTAAAGAAACTGAGACTAGTCTCTAAAGACACTGAGACTAGGCTCTAAAGACACTGAGACAGGGCTCTAAAGAAACTGAAACTAGGGTCTAAAAAAACTGAGACTAGGCTCTAAAGACACTGAGATAGGGCTCTAAAGACACTGAGACTAGGCTCTAGGGAAACTGAGACTAGGCTCTAGGGAAACTGAGACTAGGCTCTAAAGAAACTGAGACTAGTCTCTAAAGAAACTGAGACTAGGGTCTAAAGAAACTGAGACTGGGCTCTAAAGAAACTGAGACTGGGCTCTAAAGACACTGAGACTAGGCTTTTAAGACGCAGAGACTAGGCTCTAAAGAAACTGAGACTAGGCTCTAAAGCAACTGAGACTAGGCTCTAAAGAAACTGAGACTAGGCTCTAAAGAAACTGAGACTAGGCTCTAAAGAAACTGAGATGAGGCTCTAAAGAAACTGAGACGAGGCTCTAAAGAAACTGAGACTAGTCTCTAAAGACACTGAGACTAGGCTCTAAAGACACTGAGACAGGGCTCTAAATAAACTGAAACTAGGGTCTAAAAAAACTGAGACTAGGCTCTAAAGACACTGAGATAGGGCTCTAAAGACACTGAGACTAGGCTCTAGGGAAACTGAGACTAGGCTCTAGGGAAACTGAGACTAGGCTCTAAAGAAACTGAGACTAGGCTCTAAAGAAACTGAGACTAGGGTCTAAAGAAACTGAGACTGGGCTCTAAAGAAACTGAGACTGGGCTCTAAAGACACTGAGACTAGGCTCTAAATAAACTGAGACTAGGCTCTAAAGAAACTGAGAGTAGGCTCTAAAGACACTGAGACTAGGCTCTAAAGAAACTGAGACAGGGCTCTAAAGACACTGAGACAGGGCTCTAAAGAAACTGAGACTAGTCTCTAAAGAAACTGAGACTAGGCTCTAAAGACACTGAGACTAGGCTCTAAAGAAACTGAGACTAGGGTCTAAAGAAACTGAGACAGGGCTCTAAAGAAACTGAGACTGGGCTCTAAAGACACTGAGACTAGGCCTTTAAGACACAGAGACTAGTCTCTAAATAAACTGAGACCAGGCTCTAAAGAAACTGAGACTAGGCTCTAAAGACACTGAGACTAGGCTCTAAAGAAACTGAGACTAGGCTCTAAAGAAACTGAGACTAGGCTTTTAAGACACTGAGACTAGGCTCTAAAGAAACTGAGACTAGTCTCTAAAGACACTGAGACTAGGCTCTAAATAAACTGAGACTAGGCTCTAAAGAAACTGAGACTACGCTCTAAAGACACTGAGACTAGGCTCTAAAGACACTGAGACAGGGCTCTAAAGACACTGAGACAGGGCTCTAAAGAAACTGAGACTAGTCTCTAAAGAAACTGAGACTAGGCTCTAAAGACACTGAGACCAGGCTCTAAAGAAACTGAGACTAGGGTCTAAAGAAACTGAGACTAGGATCTAAAGAAACTGAGACTAGGCTCTAAAGCAGGGGTCGGGAACCTTTTTGACTAAGAGAGCCATGAAAGCAAAACATTTGGAAATTTATTTCAGTGAGAGCCATATAATATATTTTAAAAGTGAATTCAACTAAATGTCAGTATAATAAGCCTCTGAATTTATTCTTTTAAATAATGTTGTTATAACACTCACCATTAATGCGACTTCTGGTGCTGCATGGATTTGCTGATGTCTTTGTAGTCGGGTTGGTACTTGGTGAGGTTAAGCTTCATGCAAGCGTTGAGGCTTTCATCCGTTAAACGTGATCGTAGTTTGGACTTGATGTTTTTAAGATGTGAGAATGACTGCTCACATGCATACGTAGATCCAAACATGGTCAATACAGCAATACTCACACGCTGCAGTGTGTGGTATGTGACAGGAAGCGCGTTCCAAGTTTTGAGAATCAGCTGGTCTTCGGGTTGGAGTTTTTTCATTTCTGTCCACATGTGCTTGCTCGCCAACTCCGCTTTCTGTCGTGTGATTCTTTCCAAATCTTCATTCAGTGAGAATGACTGCTCACATGCATACGTAGATCCAAACATGGTCAATACAGCAATACTCACACGCTGCAGTGTGTGGTATGTGACAGGAAGCGCGTTCCAAGTTTTGAGAAGCAGCTGGTCTTCGGGTTGGAGTTTTTTCATTTCTGTCCACATGTGCTTGCTCGCCAACTCCGCTTTCTGTCGTGTGATTCTTTCCAAATCTTCATTCAGTGACTTGAACTTATTCACCCACATGTCTGAGGCCTTCAGGTCAGCCACTTCTGCTTCAAAATCTCTGACGGAGACACCAGGGATGTAATTCAGGTCGGCTGTGTTCAATGAACACTCGTTTGGATGGGTGATGAACTTAAAAAGACGAGTGTGCTCACGAAATTCTCCAAAGCGTGCTTTGAAGGACTGTAGGAGACTGGATGTGCAGCCAGCTAGCTGGTGGAGATCAAGGTTTTGAATGGGCTCACTTGCTGTGCATGCATCTTTAAATTGGCTCAGTTTTTCAAAATGTAGTAAACGACCTGTTTCAAGATCCGTGATGAAAAGCTCCAGCTTGTTTTCAAAAGCAAATACAGCTTGTTGAAGGGATAACACTGTATTTCCAATGCCTTGCATTTTCACGTTGAGCTGGTTCAGATGTTCAGTCAGATCTACGAGATAGTAAAACTTGAGGAGCCACTCGGTGTCGGCTAGCTCAGGATGCCCGACGCCTTTCATTTCAAGGAAAGTCCGGATTTCGTTCAGGCAAGCCGCAAAACGGCTAAGCACCTTCCCTCTTGACAACCAACGCACATTGCTGTGCAAAAGCAGTCCAGGATAGTTATTTACAACTTCATCCAGCAGTGTTTTAAACTGGCGATCATTTAAGGCTCGGGCAACAATAAAGTTGATCACACGAATGACCAGCGACATCACTTCGCCAAACTGCCTGTCACACATCTGAGCACAAAGTGCCTCCTGGTGTATAATGCAATGGAAACTTAGGATGGGTCTATTTTCATGTTCACGGAGAAGCACCACAAATGCTTTGTTTTTCCCCACCATACACGGAGCACCATCAGTACACACTGAGAGAAGTTTATCCATAGGTAGACTTTTTTCTTGAGCAAACTCCATGAAAGACTTGAATAAATCCTCACCTCTTGTGGACCCTTTTAATGGCAGAACAGCAAGACTTTCTTCGCGCAGTGTGTCACCAACAGCATATCTTGCAATCACGCTGAACTGCGACAAATGGCTCACGTCTGTTGACTCATCCAAAGCCAGAGAAAAGAACGGCGCTGCATTTATGTCCTTCACTTGCGTTTCCTCCACTTTGTTTGCCATCACGATGGTACGATCATGAACAGTTCTTGCCGACAGAGGCATGTCTTGTATCCGTTTGATTATCTTGTCTTTGTTCGGAAGATCATCAAAAAGTTCATTGGCTACATCCAGCATGAACGTTTTAGCATACTCGCCATCTGTGAATGGTTTTCCGTTCCTCACTATTGCTAAAGAACCAGCAAAGCTAGCCGAATTATAGTCACCTTGCCGGGTCCATACGCGGAGTTGCTGCTGGCTAGCTTGCACCCTGCTCAGCTCTTGGCACGCTTTCTTTCTGCTGTCTCCCGCAGGGTATTTTGATGCAAAGGTAGCGTGGCGCGTGTCGAAGTGCCGCTTTACATTCGACCGTTTCAACGATGTAATTTTGTCATTGCAAATTAGACACACCGCAGAACCCGCTCTCTCCACAAAGGCTAATTCTTCGGTCCATTCGTCCTGAAATGTACGATACTCGTCGTCTTTTTTTCTTTTTGCCATCTTCTTCGTCGAAGGGTTAGCTTTGAGCTAATGACCGAGCAGACGCAGTCTCAGACTGATTCAAAAGGGGGCGTTTACCTGTTTTACCCAGCAACGGCAAATGTAGGCCAGTATCATCCAATTAAAATAATGGACAATTGCTCCTGCAGCCCTGAACAGGACATGCGCAGTGAAAAATCGATGGATGGATTAAAACAAGTGAGAATATTTTGTTTTATCTGCGAGCCATATGCAATCATCAAAAGAGCCACATCTGGCTCGCGAGCCATAGGTTCCCGACCCCTGCTCTAAAGACACTGAGACTAGGCTCTAAAGAAACTGAGACTAGTCTCTAAAGAAACTGAGACTAGGCTCTAAAGAAACTGAGACTAGGCTCTAAATACACTGAGACTAGGCTCTACAAAACTGAGACTAGGCTCTAAAGAAACTGAGACTAGGGTCTAAAGAAACTGAGACTAGGATCTAAAGAAACTGAGACTAGGCTCTAAAGAAACTGAGACTAGGGTCTAAAGAAACTGAGACTAGGATCTAAAGAAACTGAGACTAGGCTCTAAAGAAACTGAGACTAGTCTCTAAAGACACTGAGACTAGGCTCTAAAGACACTGAGACTAGTCTCTAAAGAAACTGAGACTAGGCTCTAAAGAAACTGAGACTAGGCTCTAAAGACACTGAGACTAGGCTCTAAAGAAACTGAGACGAGGCTCTAAAGACACTGAGATTAGGCTCTAAAGAAACTGAGACTAGGCTCTACAAAACTGAGACTAGGCTCTAAAGAAACTGAGACTAGGGTCTAAAGAAACTGAGACTAGGATCTAAAGAAACTGAGACTAGGCTCTAAAGAAACTGAGACTAGTCTCTAAAGACACTGAGACTAGGCTCTAAAGACACTGAGACTAGTCTCTAAAGAAACTGAGACTAGGCTCTAAAGAAACTGAGACTAGGCTCTAAAGACACTGAGACTAGGCTCTAAAGAAACTGAGACGAGGCTCTAAAGACACTGAGAATAGGCTCTAAAGAAACTGAGACTAGGCTTTAAAGACACTGAGACTAGTCTCTAAAGAAACTGAGACTAGGCTCTAAAGAAACTGAGACTAGGCTCTAAAGAAACTGAGACTAGGCTTTTAAGACACTGAGACTAGGCTCTAAAGAAACTGAGACTAGGCTCTAAAGAAACTGAGACTAGGCTTTTAAGACACTGAGACTAGGCTCTAAAGACACTGAGACTAGGCTCTAGGGAAACTGAGACTAGGCTCTAACGAAACTGAGACTAGTCTCTAAAGAAACTGAGACGAGGCTCTACAGACACTGAGACTAGGCTCTAAAGAAACTGAGGCTTCGCTCTAAAGACACTGAGACCAGGCTCTAAAGAAACTGAGACTAGGCTCTAAAGACACTGAGACTAGTCTCTAAAGAAACTGAGACTAGGCTCTAAAGACACTGAGACTAGGCTCTAAAGAAACTGAGACTAGGGTCTAAAGAAACTGAGACTGGGCTCTAAAGAAACTGAGTCTGGGCTCTAAAGACACTGAGACTAGGCTTTTCAGACACAGAGACTAAGCTCTAAAGAAACTGAGACTATGCTCTAAAGCAACTGAGACTTGTCTCTAAAGAAACTGATACCAGGCTCTAAAGAAACTGAGACTAGGCTCTAAAGACACTGAGACTAGGCTCTAAAGAAACTGAGACTAGGCTCTAAAGAAACTGAGACTAGGCTTTTAAGACACTGAGACTAGGCTCTAAAGAAACTGAGACTAGGCTCTAAAGACACTGAGACTAGTCTCTAAAGACACTGAGATTAGGCTCTAAAGAAACTGAGACTAGGCTCTAAAGAAACTGAGACTACGCTCTAAAGACACTGAGACTAGGCTCTAAAGACACTGAGACAGGGCTCTAAAGACACTGAGACAGGGCTCTAAAGAAACTGAGACTAGTCTCTAAAGAAACTGAGACTAGGCTCTAAAGACACTGAGACCAGGCTCTAAAGAAACTGAGACTAGGGTCTAAATAAACTGAGACTAGGATCTAAAGAAACTGAGACTAGGCTCTAAAGAAACTGAGACTAGGCTCTAAAGACACTGAGACTAGGCTCTAAAGAAACTGAGACTAGGCTTTTAAGACACTGAGACTAGGCTCTAAAGAAACTGAGACTAGGCTCTAAAGAAACTGAGACTAGGCTCTAAAGAAACTGAGACTAGGCTTTTAAGACACTGAGACGGCTCTAAAGAAACTGAGACTTGTCTCTAAAGAAACTGAGACTAGGCTCTAAAGACACTGAGACTAGGCTCTAAAGACACTGAGACTAGTCTCTAAAGAAACTGAGACTAGGCTTTTAAGACACTGAGACTAGGCTCTAAAGACACTGAGACTAGGCTCTAAAGACACTGAGACTAGTCTCTAAAGAAACTGAGACTAGGCTCTAAAGAAACTGAGACTAGGCTCTAAAGAAAGCTGTCTCTGGAGTGGACTGATAAGTTTCAATGACAATGCATCGTCATATACGACCAGAGCCATGTGTTTGCGTGCATGTTCACCGCAAGTACCACGTGTGGTTAATGTAGACATGATTCCTTGCAAAAGATTTCTGTTTGGTGTTTAAACATCTTAACACAACTGCATACTAGCAAGAAAGGTACCATATTATAACAGCACTTGCGCCAACATTCCTGCGAAGCCTATACGGGGAATCTTCGTCTGTGTGCGCGTGTCCGCGCGCAGTGCCGGCGTGGGTCGCACGGGGACGCTGATTGGGCTGGACGTGGCGCTGCAGCAGCTGCAGAAGGAGGACAAGGTGGACGTGTTCCACATCACGGCGCGCATGCGCGAGCAGCGCATGCTGATGGTGCAAACGGAGGTGGGAGCCAATGCACACGCGTGCACGAACGCACGCGCACGCACAAACGCACATGGCGACGACGACGACGATGACAACAAGTGCTGTTTCGCCACGAAGTGGCGGTGACATTACCGCAGCGCTTGTGCCAGGCGAGGTGCACTTTTTGAGGCCGTCACATTTACAATCTGAGTACAAACATTTTGCAGTCCGTGGCTTTACTCTCCCAACACACCGGTGGGTGCTGTACTCGTGTAATGGCCTCTGTACTACACTATACACTACACTACTATACACTACACTATACACTACACTATACACTACACTATACACTACACTACTATACACTACACTATACACTACACTCCTATACACTACACTACTATACACTACACTCCTATACACTACACTATACACTACACTATACACCACTACTATACACTACACTATACACTACACTATACACTACACTATACACTACACTATACACTACACTCCTATACACTACACTACTATACACTACACTATACACTACACTCCTATACACTACACTATACACTACACTATACACCACTACTATACACTACACTATACACTACACTCATATACACTACACTCCTATACACTACACTATACACTACACTATACACTACTACTATACACTACACTATACACTACACTATACACCGCTACTATACACTAGACTATACACTACACTCCTATACACTACACTCCTATACACTACACTATATATCACTACTATACACTACACTCCTATACACTACACTCCTATACACTACACTATACACTACACTATACACCGCTACTATACACTACACTATACACTACACTATACACCACTACTATACACTACACTATACACTATACTCCTATACACTACACTCCTATACACTACACTATACACTACACTATACACCACTACTATACACTACACTATACACTACACTCCTATACACTACACTCCTATACACTACACTCCTATATACTACACTATACACCACTACTATACACTACACTATACACTACACTCCTATACACTACACTCCTATACACTACACTCCTATACACTACACTATACACCACTACTATACACTACACTATACACTACACTCCTATACACTACACTATACACTACACTATACACTACACTCCTATACACTACACTGAAAAACCTCGACCTGGAAATGCAGAGAAGATCTGCATCATGCCCAGGTCTTTGGGACCTTCAGGGGACATATGGGTGCAGCATGCAAAGAGCGTAGGCTGGGGCAAGATGATTCACTGCTTCGTAAGTTAACAAGAGGATTTGAAACTGTATTCTGCGCTAAACCGGAAGCCAGTGCAGGGAGGACCAAAAAGGGGCAGAAGGCGTTCCGGCGAAACACCGTAGCAGCTACATTGTGAACACGCTGGCAAATTGATAAGCACCTTCTTAGCCGCGCCAGGGAGTAAAGACGTTACAATAGCTCCGTGCAAGAGGAGATGATGGAATCTGCTCGCGTGCGCGGGAGCGGAGAGGCGGTGGTGGCCGCGAAGGGGGGGAAGGACGACTTCACCCGGCAAGCGGAATAACAGCGGCTGACGACAGCTGACTTAATTTTATTTTGCGAATAGATTTTTTTTTTTACACGCGACTGTCATGCGGTCAAGAGCGCCGGATGTACGCAAAGGCAAATGAAAATTAAAAAAAATATTCTTTGGGTTTTTCGGTAAAGTCATGTAGATAGAAAAAAAATAATAATCATGAGCGGAACATTATTTTCCATTGAATATTTCAGATTTACTGTAATACACCCGTCCTTGAACGGGTTACATAGGCTAGTATATATAATTTGTAATATATCCAGGGTGTCTCATAAGTCTGGAACCATAGGGAAAGTAATAAAAAAAGGCAATAACGCTTTTATTCACAGATCGTGCTCAACGTGTCCACCATTAGTCCTGAATTATATTATCTGGACTCGTTCTTCCTTACTCGGAGAAATCTTGGGCCTGCAGAGACCAAACAAATATGAATGAGTTATTTTCCCCTACGATTTTAGGCTCATGGGACAACCCTGCAAAATGTGTGAACGGATGCCAGCCCACGTATCCACAGAGCCTCGTGACATCCTCCTCCAGCACGTGCAGCAGTCCCTCGGCCAACGTTTGTTTTCTATCCGGAAAGCGCCGTTAACTGAAATGACTGTTCGATCGAATATAAGAATGACGCTTTTAAAGTGACCGAGTCTTGGGGCGAGAGAGAGAGAGAGCTGTTTCTTACTGCCAAAACGTAATAATGTCAACGAAGCCGGTCGAGGTTTAAAAGGCTTACGGAATGGGCGTCGCTGATTGGCTGAGGGCATGGCTCGGCCCTGACTTACGAGCGCTCCGATTGGCCCGAAATTGGCACCACCGCGTACCTAACCAAAAACGCGTGACCATCGGTCAACGTTTGTGACGTGCGTCGAGACACCATGGGGAGGGGGGGGGGGGTGGCGGTCCCCTATGGGCCAAACGTTAACATGAAAAACCGTTGACCCGAAGTCACCGTTAACCGAGGCACAAATGTTGCATGCAACGAAAACAACGGCCGCGCAGCTGACCGGAGCCTCTCTCTCCGTGTGCGTGTGCACGATCCCCACAGGAGCAGTACATCTTCCTCCACCAGTGCATCAAAGAGAAGTTGAAGTCCAAGGATCTGGGAGGCTACACCAACAACATCTACCAAAACCTATAGGCGGGCATATGGGCGTCGGCGGAGCCGTCGATCGATCTCGCGATCGCTTAGCTTCGTTTTTGCCGTGTGTGTGTGTGTTGACGTGGCAGTGTGAGTGTGTTCCGAGCGAGCGAGCGTAATTAGTTAGGGCGGAGCGGTAGTGTAGCGGTTAGCGCGCGGCACTACGAACCTGAGTTCGATTCCCGCTCACGGCCAACACCAGTGACGATTACTTTGAAGCGGTCCTGGGCCTTCCCTAGGCCGCCTCAGCCTCAAATGAGTACCTGGTGCGGTGTGTAAAAACATCGCCACTGGGGAGACAAAGGCGGACGGGCGTGGTGCTGGCCACCCACCCCCTCGTGTGCCATGCCAGCCTTCATAGGTGCTCGCTAACAGCACTTGCCCCAACATTCTGTTAATGTTATACGGGGGATCTTTGTTTTTATCTGTGCATTGAGTGGCGGTTGGTCGATAGGGAATTATTGTGTGTGTGTGTATATATATTTTACTAAGTGTACAGATGGAGGAGTATCCTGCTGTCTTAATTACACACGTTTAACAGGCTGGCAAAGTATTTTATTGGGCGGCTAGCCTGTCGTTACGGGGTCCCAGCGGTCGCGATGTCGAGAAAGTAACAAAAATGCGACCATGCCAACAAAACTACACCTCCGCGTTCCGTAGTTTGTAAACTGTGGGTTTTGTTTTAACGTTTTTACGCCCGGTGCGGAAGGGCACTTATTCCGCTCACTGGTGGAGCCAGTGCGGGTGGGGGGTGGGGGGGTGGGGGGGGGGGTGGCACGTGCCCCCCCCCAATGATCCGATCAAAATTAGGGATTTCGATCATTGGGGTTTATTAGTAATAAATCGGCATTTTGCGACCCCCACTGCCACTGTGTAGCATATTATTACGTGCCGGGAACTCTATGAGATGATAGGATAATAGCCTTGAGTCCATAATTGGCAATAAGTAACGGCAAAGCGGTTATAAGTAACTCAGAGAATTGTGTGCGGTTGCGTATACGCAGTCCACGACAACCCTGAAGGCATTCACCTTCAGCGAGCGCGATGCCGATCACACAGCGCGGTTCAAATTCTCGACCCTCGATCGATGGCTGTGCCATCGCCGCACACGCGTCGAATAAAAAGCAAGGGAAAGCTTTCCCACCTGATGACGGACGCTTGTCTTGTGCCCGAAACGTCGTGATTTATCTGATTATTTTCTACCCAAGTGACTTTACCGAAAGAACCAAAGAGCATGGATTCCTGCAGTCACGAAAGCTTCAAAATCAAGATTGAACTTTTAAAATCGTCTAGATTAACGAACAAATTTATATGGGGCTGCTTGTTGTTCTCCGAATAGCGCGGTTGGCTGCGTACGGTGCGAAAGAAGTCCACCGTGCATGCATACACAATATGTACGATGGTGACTGCTCGTGAACTGGAAGTGGACACGCGCGCGAGTGGTGGTGCTGCGACGGCACCAGGATGTGAAAAGCAGGCGTGCCTTATAAGCGCAAACTTTTACTAAGATTTAGATTTTTATTTTATTTAGCCAACAGCCGCCACTGCACCCCGCGCGTGTATTTGTGCAATAGAGGACGCCCACGAGTGCCAATTGACGCATTCCATAACTGTGTTTATCCGTGCAAGTCGGCGTATATGTGAATGTAGATGTACACACGCGAGTGCTTGCATGTGTATGTGTGTGCATCTGTGTGCGTGGGGGAGCGGTCGTGTAGCGATGAGCGCTTCGCTGTGCTACGGACTCAGCGACCCGAGTTCGATTCCCGCTCAGGGCCACCAACACCACCCAGTGACGATTTTCTTAACCGGCCCTGGGACCTCCCCTAGGTCGACTCGGCCTCAAATGAGTACCTGGTGTAGCGGTGTGTAGTGACCATCGCCACTGGGAGAGACAAAGGCGGTCGGGCATGGTGCTGGCCACCCACCCTTTCGTGTTCCGTGCTGGCCTTCGTAGGTGGTCGCTAACAGCACTTGCCCCTACGGTCTGTTACAGGCTGTACCGGGGATCTGTGTGTGTGTGTGTGCACACGTGCCTACATGAATACGCGGATGTTAGAATGGATATAATTTATGAATGCGTTATTCTTATTCCTATTCCTCTTCTTCATCATTGGTTTGCTTCTTTGCACAAGGCTGGTTGGGTGGGTCACTTGAGTGCTCAGAAATAAGGAGCAGCTGGCCATGCTCCGCTTTCTCCAAACACTGAGCCGAATGGGAAGGTGATTCACTCAGGAATATTGCTATTCTTGATTCTTTCGGTAAAGTCGCGTAAATAGAAAAAAAAGAATAACAGAAAATTGTTTGAAATGTATTGTTTTTATTTTATTATTTGAAATGTTTAAAAATGTTACCTCGATTTTTTGTTTTTTTATCTACGTGACTTTACCAAAAGAACCAAGAATATCAATATTCCTGCGGTCACAAAAGTTTTAAGCCAAATTTTTTTTCTCAGGAATAACTATATCCAGAATTTGTATTTAAAGCTTTCGTGACTGCAGGGATTCATATTCTTGGTTCTGTCGGTAAAGTCACGTAGAAGGGAAACAATAAAATAATAAAAATATAAAACAATAAAATTCTCACGACGTTTCCACTGCAACACAAGCAATCATCATCAGGTGTGAAAACCACAGCAAGAAAAACAATTCCACAGCAAGAACATTTTTTTTTCTTGCTGTGGTTTTCACACCTGATGATGATTGCTCGTGTTGCAGTCGAAACGTCGTGATAATTTTATTGTTTTATATGTTTATTATTTTATTGTTTCCCTTCTACATGGTGACTTTACCGAAAGAACCAAGAATATGAGTCACGTGATCTATTCATATCTCCAGAATGTTTATTTATACTGGAGGAGGAATGCCATGAGCTACGCACCTCTTTCTTGTCTCACAAGATGCCCAGTATGGACTCAAGAACGAACAAAAAAAATGCGAAAACACGATAGGAATGAAAAGTATGGGCAAGCAGTGCGAACAAAAGAGCTTTCCTGGCTCAACAGATTCCTGCAGGACTAAATAAAAGACGTCCCGAGTCTGCGAAGGGGGAAAAAACATCTTGCCTGGATGGACGCTTTCCCCCACCGTGGCTGTTTAATCCCCGGAAAGTTTTTTTCGCAAGACGACACCGGAGACCCTTAATTCCCTGCCAGTCCAGATACCGTCCAATTCCGAACTGCGGTTGATGTTTTCATGTCCCCTTTAAGTTTCTGGATACTCGGGAAGCGCATGTTCAGGCCCTGGTGGGATCATACCTCTTATCTCTTACGTCAGCAGGTTTATAGGTTGAGTCAGCATACCGAGGAGATACATCAGGCTCAGGATATTCACCAGGGCGCCACGGTGGCTAGGAGATGTTAACTACCTCGCATGGTATGTAGGAGGTCGTGGGTTCGATCCAGACCCTGACGCCTGCTGCTGCTGCTCTATATTTGGAGTCTGAATCTCTCTCTCATCATCATCATCACTGTGGGCTAGGAGATGTTAACTACCTCGCCTGGTGTGCAGGAGGTCGTGAGTTCGATCCAGATCCTGACGCCTGCTGCTGCTGTATATTTGGAGTTTGCGTGTCTCTCTCACCGTGGTCGTGTGGATTTTTTTCCCAGGTCCTCTCGGGGTTTCCCCTCCACATTTAGAAGCAACATAACGCATTTAGAGTATTTGCCTGCAATCAATTTCCACGTGATAAGCTACTAAGTTGAGCTATCATTTGTGACTAGGTCGCTTCTAAAAAAAGAGCTATATAGCTCAGTGGGCCTTATCCCGTAAATAAAAATTGTTTAGTTTATTAGTTTAGATTATTCGGCTGCTACTATAAATTGCCACGTGTGATGATGATGATGATATCCAATATTGATGAACTATCATAACATGTGGCCAGGTCGCTACTGACAAAGAGCAATGTAGCTCAGATGTGGGTATTACCTGGTCAAAGAAAAATAGCTAATCGTAATAGTCATGTCCTGGAGGGCTAGAGATTCAGGGTTTCCGACTCTCGGAGGTCTAGATGCCCATTACTATCCCATCTCTAGGAGGCCTAGAGACATAAGGCTATATGATGCATGGCCTGCATAATGGTGTAGGTAATGACCATTGTAGCAATTGAGTGGAGTGTTTTTAGTTTAAGCAGAGATCACAGTGGGCCTGCTCGTGTCACCTGATGGAATGCATTTTACTGCAATGGTGCATGTATGTATATGTATGTATGTCTACGTATATAGGCGGTCCCCGCTTGTACGACGTTACAACGCTGTTCCTGGAAACCCTGTCGTAATTTCATCCCATAAGTGGAAGAGTTCCCCCCCCCCACGCCCCCGCCCACCCCTCATAATGAGTCGGGTTTCCAGAATGCATCGTTGTAAATTGTGAACAAGCACAAGATGCAAAGCACCTCCTCTGAGCGCGGTTTAGGCTACGTACGGTGCAAAAGAAGTTCCAACATACAGGGACTCCTCTACTTACGAGCATTCGACTCACGAACTTTCAGAGCTACTAACCTTTCCCTATGTCCGGTTGCCCGTTCGGACCAAGAGTTGTAAGTTCAACTGCCTCGCAATGGATGGCGGTGGTGGCATCTACATCGGCAGACCGTGAAGAACCAGCGGCATCTACGTCTACAGGAGACTATACAACTTTTAAAGCCATTCCCCGTGTTTAGTGCACGTGTCGTACACGTTCAGAATCGACGGGAGCACAGTTGGACTCACGAACAAATCGACTTACGAGCAGACCCCTAGAACCTAGCTCGTAGGTAAAGGAGTCTCCGTACATACAGCACACACGTCGTCACCAACGCAAGGCAAACACACAGCCACCGTGCAGCACAGCGATCTTTTCAGGAAAATATTGAATCGTGTATCTTTTTTTTGTGGTTGACAACGAGATGGGTTTCAATGGTGAATACCGGCGGGTTCCCTCCCCCCCCCCACCCCCCCGCTTTTTACGGCGTTACGACGCGCTCCTTGGAAGCTCCGTCAGTTAATCGGGGCCCAATTTTCCCATCGACTGTGGAAACGTAATTCACCGAAGGTCTTGTTTTCTCCCCCCCCCCCCCCTTCCTTTGATCGGGGTGTATTCAACGGCGTATTATCGGTGCAGACATCGTCCACACACGCAAACATGCTCGAGGATAA